TTTTGTATGGAATTTAGAGAGTTCTTTTTCTATTAAAATAACTAATAAATTAAATAATTATTGAAATAGATTAAATATAAGTTTTTATCCCCTAAAACTGATTAAGAACTTTATTGACCAAGTAGTTGAGCTCTTTACTTCAAGGAAGTATAAAAACATATAGATCGTTCGCATTATTTTTTCCCAGTAAGTCTGTCTTGCGTCTGCGCCTGCGCATTGTTGTTTTTTGCGCCAACTGCAAATTGTACGTTACTTTCTGCACACTCGGCTTTCTGGGCTGTTGTTATTGTTATTATTGTCTGGAGCGGGCATATGTTTGTGTTTGGTATTTGTATTTATGCTGCTGCGGAGCGGCACCTGCTGCCCTCTACCATTGACCCGCCCCGCCCACTTCGGCCCGCCCCCCAAGCGATCCGCGACTGTTGCTCAGCATTAACATCACGCACAGCCCTTTCAATTCATTTTATAATTGCTGTTTGCTTTTTTGCTATTTTTAAACACGCAGCGGCGAAGGAAGAACTGCATGGTGTTCAGAAATATGAGCATTATTTTGAAGCCTAGTCGAAGGGCACGCGCTATTCCCCAGCACATCTGCGTTTTTGGGGTAGCAGCTGCCCCAGGTTTTCCCCCCTAATGCCCCGCTTTTTATGTCTGGCTTTCCATTTTCCTTCCCTTTTTTTGTGTTATTAATTAGAAAATGGGGGAACAGTAGGGGAAACACCCGAAGTCTAGACGGTTTTAAGCGGAAACTCAATCTGTGCTCTATTTTTGAAGCCGTGTCCCTCATCTTTTTCAAACACGTGCCCCCCAGTTGAGTTGGGATTACCAAAAAAAAAAGTAAAAAGATAAAAACAAGAGGGAAATTGCTTATTCTAAAAGGTCCTTCAATTACCATACAAAAGTTTTTCCACTCAAAGAACCCTTTCTCCGATTTTCAATCTCTTTTGTTATCGAGTTCATTGCCTGAATTTTAAGTGCTGTCACTTTGAAGATTCCGCTGCCTAGAGTTTTTTACTTTTCTGTTCTGGTTGAGTAATTGAATTTCAGTATCACAAGGTATAGATATTTGTATCTATATCATCAAAGATATACTTAAACTCACCGCAGCAAAACGTCTCCATTTCGATGTTTTCCACTTTCAGCAACATGTTGGTTATTAATTCCAAAACCTCGACACGACACGGCACAAAATTTAGATCATTATCAGAGGTTTTTTGGCTATAATATATCAACTCTTCACTGCAGTTTTTGTGGGTTTTTGTTTATTTATTTTTTGGTTCTACTGCGCATGCGCAACGTTTGGAGCGTCAAGTTGCCACAGTCCTTCAACTTCGACTGGCAAAAGCTCGGCTTTCGACTTGGCTTTGGGCCTTCTACCGACTTTATTGAATGCCAAGAATATCAATTAGCTCTTTCTCTCCCTCTCTCTCTCACTACTCTTTCTCTGTCTTTTTGATTTGACATCTCTATCTTTCTCTTATGGGGTAAACAATGCATTGGGAGATTATAAAATAATAAAAGTCAACGCGCCGTCGTTGTTGTTTTTGTACGTGCCCGTGACGTTTAATCAACGCATTGTCCATTTTAAATAAGCCTTTGATCCCCGCTCCTCCGCCAAGAGCTATAAACGGAGTTATGGCATTTTAAGCGATCAACAGATCTCCAATTGTTTTTTCGCCATCGCCAGCAACTCCCCAGAAGCCCCAAATGGAAAGCCTTAACAGTTAGCGAGTGGATTGGCAGGGGACGACTTGCAAAACTTGTAAACATATAAAAATATAATTTTTATTTACTGCCATTTAAATGGCAGCAACAGAAACTCCAGACAAGGGCAGCAATGACAACAATAAAATAGGAAATAATCATAAAACTTAATGTGGCGAGAAATATGTTTTTGTAAATGGCTGAGAAAAGATGGCAAGCTGAGATTGCTTACGGGCTGGTTAATTGGACTTCGTATTCGAATAGAAAAATAATCTTAGATTGCAATAGATAAATTGGTAGAAAATTTATGCAAAGAATTCCAGGGAATAGCTATAAAAATGTCTAAGATATTTGCATAGATATTGCTAAAATATTATATATGATGATTTTCTTTTGAGGATAAACCAATACCTCCTTCTACTAAAGAAACTCTATAACATTTTCGAAAATAGTCACAAATAAAGAAAAAAGGGAAACCTCCGAATTGAAACGTGAGCAAAATTTCGGTGATGTTTTTCTTGAACATATTTTTTTTTTCAGGCAGGAGTAGGCTTTATTATCCTACCAAAAATTATGTTAATTAAGCCGACTGTGTTCAAATCTCTGCTTAGTATTTATGAATGCAACAGGTGTTGAGTTCGACCCGAAGGAAGCCACTTGAGTTCCCCGATAGGATTTTCGTTTTCGGGTACTTCATTTCGGGCTGTTTGATATGCGCAGCGAGAAAATGGAGGGACGTAACCCCCAAGGCAGTTCCTCTACAAGTGTATTGAACCCCCATTGAAGTTGGTGGATGGGGCTGGCATACTCTTCGTAATCTGATGAGCAGATGTTCCCGGAATTGAAAACAGAAGCCAGACGCTGGGGGAAAATGGAGATGGGTAAACAGAACAAGTGCAGCGGGTGAAGCAGAATGCTGCGCTTCTATCTTGACTTCAGTTGCTCAGTTGCTGACCCCAAATCACCTGCCACATTCCACGGCGAGTGGAGCAATTAAAAACAGTGTATAACTGATAAATCGCATATTGCTGGACAGTGTACGCCCCCTTCCGAGTTCCGAGTTTTATAGACTGAAGCGTTTTTGATTGAGAAAGCCGAAGAGGAAACATGGCCAACGTAAACAGCCTGTGGCTTTGATGTATTCACAGTTTGTGCTGCCAATTTCTCGGTATGGTGATGGAGGGCCAAATTTGGCCAATCGTTCCGATGGCACGCGCCATATGCCAAGCGTTTCGGCCACCCAACTCCCCTTTTTGTTTTTGTTTTCTTTCTCCCTCTCTCTACTTCTTTTTCTCGTTTCCGTGTCATTAACACGTTTGAAGCCATCGGAGTCGCAACTCCCAAGTCGTCCGCCCATCAATTATGCAAAGTTCCGTTCCGCCCGTCGATTGCGCCTTATTGGATGTGCAGTTCTTCAATTTATGCTCGTCATGCGGCCACACCCACCATCCAGCGCCCCCCGTTAGGCGATTCTCGTTTATTGACTCCGCTGGGCACTCATGTTGCCCATCCGCCATGTTGCCAGCCTAACATAACAACAAACTGCAATTGCCATTGTTGTTGAAAAAGCGGAAACGCGTATAACTCTTCCACCCTCTGGAGCACTGAAACTGCAGTGGGACACTCGCAAATATGGAAGTGTATTCAGTTGGAATTGTTTTTAGCTTGCCATAAATTTAGGTGTTAAAACTGAACTTCTCGTGGGTGTTGTGGGTTAATTGCTGATTGAGGCGAGTTGCCTAGTTTCCTGCATATGGCGAAAGATTCGAATAGATTGCAAGTGACCATAGATGAAAGTGTGTCGAAGACTATTTGTAGAAAAATAAGCTATAAGTTGGGATTCCCAACGGTTATTGTAATGGACAAGAACAACAATCGAAGAAAGAATTGCTTGCCATATTATTTACACAAAATCCTTATAAGTTGGTTGATAAACCAATTGATAATTTATAAAAATAGATACAAAACTCTATAAGTTTTAGTAACTATAAGTTCTCTTCATATTAAAATCCAAGTTAGGTTTGCTCCTCCTACGAAGTGTTTAAATCAAATCCAGATTATCCATCATATCGCAGTGTCATGAAAGCGAAACCTTGAAAACGTTCTGATGAATACGCAATGATCGTGCGAAGGAGTCCTGAGCGACTCATAAACCATAAACCCATGACATTTTCTGGATAAACAAGTATACCTGAGTATTCAAATACAGAATTGTGAAAACCAGGAGGCATTTGCATCTGGCATGCAGCTAACCGCTTTGGGGGCATCCATCACACGGAGGACTGTCAATGTCAAGCGAGTTGCCAGTGTCAGTCAGCCAGGAAGGCGCGTTGCCAGCGATCAGCTATATACGATCGGCTATATACGATCCACAATCCACGATCGCCTCATTACGCCACGGAATCGAAGGCAAACAGAAGCTTCGCTGCGAGGGAAAAACAATGCCAAAACAAAGATTGGCGACGCTCTGGCGACAAAACACGATTACAATTATCACTTGCGTAAACATTGCAATGTTGTTAACGTGGCTTAAATGAGGGGCCACAGATCCATGGCGCCTGCCAGGCGAAAATATATAATACAGAAAAAAAAAACCAGAGAGGAGCTGCCAGTTGCGCTTAATATGCAAACGTGATGCAAAGCTTCGAGGTAAAGGTTGTTGGGCAGTCGTTCAAGGAGGGAAAACCCATGGGAGGGTAAAGGGGGGTTTAAAGGGGGTTTTAAATGGAAGAGCGAACGCCTGACAGCCGCCAAAGTGCAAAAATGCGAACGCGAAACGAGGGCAGGGAATGCAATTTGCCAAACAGTTTGTCTCTGTCAATGCTGCGGCAGAAGTTGCGGGGTGAATTAAAATAACTTAAAGGGTATATTAGACCAAAGGAATGCGAGTAAAAAGGAGATAAGCAGTTAGATAAAAAGAGAAGAGAATGAGCTCAAGAATTTGTACTGAAGGTTGTTTTAAAACATACAAAGATTCACATTTCAGAATGAAATTCTTAGTTCAATATAAGCTTTAATTGGAAATAGAAAGTGAATCAGAAATCTAATAGTTGTTATAAATTTAGTTTTTACATTTTACTAGCTACTAGAAGTTATCTTTTATTTATCTTTTGAAAAAGGTATTTACTATTTATTTCCCTATCAACTGATTAAACTTCTCTGAGAAGAAAACCTCGCTTAGCAATTTCTATTTACATGCATTTTTCTATTCATTGGGCCCAGATTAGCATAGGAATTCGCGATTGCCCCCTGGCATACTGAGCAGATGAGCATTGCAAGTATGAATGTCAACTCACCTCTTCGTCGATGAGAACTGCCGCGGAATTTGTTGGGCGAGAGGAGCGGTGGACGCGGGGCCATCATGCTGGGCACCTCATCCGGGGATCCCGGTCCCGAGTTTTGTTGCTGCTGCTGCTGATGTTGGGCCCAGTTTCCCAGGGAATGGCGACGAGCTCCGCCACTTGGCAGGGTGTGATGTCGATGGGATTTGCTACTGAATATTGGGCGCAAAAAAAAAAAAAGTGGAAAGGCGAGGGATGAGTAAACAAGAAAAGGCCAACGATTAGCACGGGCGGAAAAGAGGGCGGTTCAAAACTGTCAACAGCTGCAATCGCATCCTGTCATCACTTCCATCCACAGCCACATCCACATCCCCACTTCCCCCAATTCCAATTTCGATTCTTGGATATTGCTCACCTTGTTGGCGATGTCAGCGGATTGAAGACCTCGTCGTGATCCCCTCCAGAAACTCCTCCTCCTCCACCGGGGCACTGGGAACTGTGTGTTTCGTTGCAGGAATTCAGGCGTTCCCGGAACTCCGAGTGCGAATTCGATGATCGCTGGCGGTTCATGTGCATCGGTTGCATCTCAAACGTGTGCTGAAAGTTACAAAAAGCGGAAGAGGGCGGCACATTAGAACACAGGAAGTGGCAGATCCAGCAGATAAATCAGAATCAGTATTCGGAAATCGGAGCACAGTATGCTCCATTAACCATCCACTTACTTGTGAGAAACCGCCGAGGGAGTTGAAGCTGCCGCGCTGACTTCCGAACGCCATGGTGGCCGTTGTGTCCAGATTGGCGGATGTGATCAGGCGCATCTGTTCCGGATTGGTCACCACCACCGGACGGGGGCTGCTGCCCTTCGAGTTCCGCCGCTTGAAGATCGAGAATCCCCGGCTCGACGACTGCGAGTCCGGGGTGCGCGGCGATTTGGTGTCATTGCAAAAATAATAGGGGTTGTCTAGGGAAAATATATTAAAACAAATGAGGAAGGGAGTTAGTTTTTAGAGTTTAAATTGGATAATGTAATACAAAAGAATATTGAAGAACAACCATTATTATACATTTTATATAATTAGCCAACCTTAAGTGCAACAGAGTTGAAAAAATACAACAATTTGATATTATTTTCTTAAATCACATTAAGCATTTGCAATGTTTTATAATGTTTTATAATGTTTGGTATTTTTTTTAAATTTAAATATTTTAAAACTTAATGGATAAAAACCTATAGAAGTTTCATTCCAACCAAAATATACCCCAAAATGTTACCTGAGAAAAAGGTGTTTGTGTTATCCACAGTGACAAACATCTTGAGATCCGTTTGATAGTTTATCTTCCCTTAGTTAGTATGCGATTCGCCGAGTCTCTCACAATTCAAAGCTCTGATTTGCGATGCATTTGCACTTTCACTGGCTGCGCATGCGCACGCGCCAAAAGTTGCGCTCTGGGCGCGAATTCGAAAAATGAGAAAACAGTAAGCACTGCGATGAGTGCCAAAAATGGCAATCAAACCGCACAAAATGTCAGTTGATTAACGCGGCAAATAAATTCAAATTCGAATAGAAATTCAAATTCAGACAGTTCGTATTTGGCCGACTTGGAGTTTCACTTCACTTTGGTTCGCGCTACGCGTGCGTCTGCATTGACATCCCGAAACGGAATAAATTCTAAAACTTCAACGAGAACAAAACACTCCGCTGCGTCTGCATTCTCCTCTGCCACCGCCGCTGCCACCGCCTCTGCCTCTGCCCACTCTCTGCCACCGCCTCTGCCGACGCAGAGAATCCCTCCTCATGTTTTGGTTTTTATTTACCATGCGCTCGCTTCTTCGTCCATTCCATCAACGTGCAGAGCACACTGATAAAAAAGTCCTATTTCGCCTTCTAGCTCAACAATTTCCAAGAACAATTCCCTCTTCTTAGAGTCCAAAATAATTTTTTAAACAAAAATACTCTATGGTGCTTAAGATAAAAATTTGTTTACATGTATGCTTTTTAAAGTCATTTTTTATGCGTTTAAGATACTTTTTAATTTATCCATAAACTTGCAAGTTATTCCTTGATAAAGTCTATGAAAATTAAATTATTTTAAAATACTTGAGCATACAAAAATATGTTTGTATGTATTTGAATTGCTCATATACCTTTATTCGTAATTTTTTTAATTGTGTTTTAAAATTTCTCCCAGTGCAGCGACATCAGCAGCAGCATGAAAACATTGTCCCTCTCCCTCGCACCATCCCCCCTCTCGCTCGCACCCGCGCACGCACACTCGCATACGGGATCAGTGTTTAAATATGGTTGCCATATTGCCATCACCCACTCCGTGCAATCCCCCCTTCCCGTTTTCTCTCCCCTCCCCTATGGACGAGGAAAACTCACTTTTCCTCGACTGCAACAACATTGTTGTTGTACCTGCGCATGTTTTTCTTTTGCGTGCGCTTTTCGCATGATCAAATTATCATCGCCAGCGGTTCGGAGTCCCTGATTCGAAATCCCTTTCCCATTTTCCATCCGTGTGCGTACGTTTTGTCTTGGGCTCGTCGTGAATATTTGATGAGTTCCGATAGCAGAAATAGAAGACCCTACCACATGTGGCATGCCACATCTGAGGTGAGCTCCCGGTTTAGTATTCCCCTGTCCTATCAGTGTCAAAGTTTGAGTTTGTCCGCCGAGTGTTGTCTGTGGTTGGGTTCGTCAACTATGCGATGATGTTCTGTGTCAGGAAACATTTATGAGACGGTTTTTCGGGAGAGACCCTGAGAACTTTTGATAAGTCATGGGAAAAAACCAAGAAATTAATTATATTTAAAAAACTGATGATTGGGTTTTAAGAGATACAAGCAGTTGTGCTACATTCATCAGGAAATGTACTTGAATTTATGAAAGATATAATCCAAATGATCCTTGAATATTTATTTTTAGGGATTTTTTTTTTTTTTTTGATAGATTTAAAATCGTTAAAATCAGTTGCGACTTCTGTCTAGAGAATAATGCACTTTATTTCCCCATTCTTGCCCCAGAATATTTGCAACATTACCCTTTTGGCATCGCTGCAAATGCAAAAATTGTCATCAATGATGGGCCGAAAATAGAAGGCCATAATAAGAGCTATGGCCAGGCGACATACTCCAGGCACATTTAGGGGAAACTCGAGAGCATCAAAGGCGAAAAAACACGCATTGGGAAAGGCACATTAAAATTTGCAGCTGGAAGAGGAGCAAAACAATTGTGCTAAGGGAACACATTTTCACTTTTCCCCAGCGCAGCTAGGAAAACTGAAAAACTGAAGTGGCAAAATGCTAGCGACTCTAGAGCGACTCCATGTGGTCTGTCCGTGGAATTCCTAAGTGGACTGGGCATAGAAATTGGCCTACGATCCGATACTCGAATTCTGGGCCAAATAACCTCGACCAGACAGATGCCCGGCACATTGGAACCTATGGAAAAATCGTAAAAGTCGGCACCCGAACAGAAATTGCACATTTCGTAGTCCATAAAGGCGAGAGTCTGGCAGCGAGGGTTGATCTTCGAGTGGTTCTCTGCAGAGCAAGTGAATCGAAAACGTAACACTTGGAGAAATTGTATATATTTATTTAATAATATTAAAACAGATTCCTTTTTGAAAACCCATATTTCAGTGGAAATAAAATAAAAAGAACTCGTTTAAAATACATACTTCAAATTGATATAAAACTTTGTGTGCACATCTTTCTTCTTATTTTATGAATACTTATAAAGGATTATTTTGTTAAGTGTTCTTCTATTTCTTTGGCTGCTGGTGGATGCAAATGATCTTGAACCGCGCTCGGGTACTTGCAGGCGATTGCCTTGCTCGAGTACTTGGGGAAATGCATTTGCCTGCACATAAATGTCAAACGCTTGTCTTCGCCAGCACGCTCCACGTGTTCCGAGGACCAGGAGGGATTCCAAGGGGAACTAGTCTCAACTGTCGAGTCGTAAATCTGTAGACGCTCTACTGCCGAGCAGCTTTGTCTAGTTATCCACGGAGTGGAGCATCGCAGCTCGGCTTTGTGCCGGTTTCCCTTTTCGAATTGGACGCCATTGGCTGCACTTTCGCCGATTGTTGTTCGGCGATGACAGGTTAATTACTCCTGTGAAGGGTATATAGTTCGATATACATACATTCCTCTGCAATTGCTGTTCACTGGGGTCAGTTTTGGATAGGTACAATAAATGGAAAATATAGACTCCAATTTGCACAAGGCTTTCATCATTATCGAAAACAAAAATGTTAGGAATAGTTTTAATATTATATAAGAAAGACAAAAGATGTAAATATTTGTTTATGAATTTAATTTATAGTTTTATAAAACACATACTATTTATTTTCCACTATTTATAAGGAAAAGTTTCCCCAAAAACAGCATAAAAAAGTCATTATGTACTACACAAACAAGTTCAACAATTATTTATGGCACTACCTTTAATTTCCTGTAAGTTCCGTCTTGATCAAAGACAATATTGAACAAGTAATTACAGGGCAATAAAACCGATTTGAAAGACAGCCCTAAATGGCCCGAACAAATATACACCCATATAATAGCAGCAATCAATTGGAAATCCGAGCAGGAAGGTCTTTGGCCAAACAGGAAGACAGAAAGCGCTGGAAAAACTTTGAGTGGGGGAAATGCGTAATTGTGAATTTTTGATTTCTTATATGTATGTATATATATCGTAAATAGTCTTGCCATCGATTGGCCAGACAAGACCTTCCTCACTGGCACACCCCATTTTATGCAGATATATAATTATTCATACGCTCGAAGGGGCCAGCGGACCCTTCAACATTTGTTTGCCACTTGCAGGAACATTGCGTGCACTGCCTTTATTTTATTTATTTTGTTAGATTTATTTCGCTGCCAAAGCCTGCTCCTATTTACTCAGATATTTTCATTCGGATTCCGCGTAGTCATACCATCTACATCCCATGACCCTCGCATGGTACACAAAATTTTGAATCATTTATGCGCACTACGAGTTTTCCTTCACGTTCAATTGAATCTTTTTGTTTATTATTTTCCAGTTTTTATGATTTAACCCCAAAGGGGCAGAGCCACCAAGACAGGCAAACAGAAAGCGCACCGATTTCGAGGGGGAAAAAGGGAAATGCTGGGGACGTCTGCCCGGAAGTTTGGCAACATGGAGCGACGTGGAGTCAAGGGGGCCTCCATAATTATTATTGTTATTGTCATGTTATGAAAAATTATTCATGTCCGTTGTTCTGTGGCAGGTGCTCGCGACCGATTTCTCGGAAATGCAGCTCCACAGCGATTTATTCGGGATTTAATCGAAAATATTTTTTAAGGCTTTAATTTAGGATGGGGTATTTAAATAAAAGATTTTCTTTTGCTAAAATGTTTAAACTGATTAATGAGCAGAAAATATTTCTTGGAAAAACCAAGTTTTCATTGAAGAACAACAGAAGCATTTCATTCATATTTTTTCTTATTTAAAAACTTTTGAAATACTTTAAAAAGGTTTAATATGTTCCAGAGCCCGTTTCTTTTTCAATTCAAATTATATTTTTGAAAATCGTTTGTTTTAAATGTTTCCAAATCGTCGGCGGGTTCCTTTCGAAGTCGCCTGCTTTAAAAACCTATAAAACTCATATCCCAAAGTGTTATTTTAGTTTTTTCCCTTCCTCAAACCCATGTCAGAAGACTACCAAAAAATAACAAAAGTCCATAAAATAGTTGTGAAGAGTTCCGCCCACGGATTCAGTTCAGAGGCGATCTGCCGGCCCAGCGGAAGTAAAGTGGCTTGAAAATTGAGAAGCAGCCTTCTCGAGGGAAAAACAACTTGCGAAATGAAGGATGCGCCCAAGGATTAGTAATTAAAAATTCCAAAACAAAATTCGATAGTTGGCCATGAATGGCTTGGGTTTCGGGCACGTGCACTCCATGCTAATGGCCACTCGAGAAAAAATCCACAACGGAAATGCCAAAGACAAAGGGACATTACCAAAACACAGGCCCTCGAAAGTCGAAACGAAGCGAAGGGATGTGAATGTGATCAGGAAGTGAAAGCAGGGAGAAAGGTGAGAGAAAGGGAAGATGTTGTTTGCTACCTGCAGAGATTGCTACCAGAGGTGTTGGCGATGCAATCAGAAATCAAATAAACACTTTTATGATCTCGGTTTTATGGCCTGCGTGTCTTGTATTTGTCGCTGTTGCGGTTGACATGATCGAAATTTCGGGAGGGCGGCGGACTTTTAACCCATTGTTGCCAAATACCGAAATGCTATTTATAGAGTCCTGCCCTGAAAGGTGTTTGGAAATGCATAAAATGCGCTCGGCGTTCAAAAATCCCGGAGCTATGGCCACAATAACAACAACAACTGCGATCACATCTGTTCAACAGATTTCAATTCGATGCCAAAGTCGGGAACCGTCAGTCCCCGAACATCTCGGGCTTTGGACAACGGCAAATGTTTAATTATTTTCTTAATGGAAACTCGCAACGAGCACATGACAACGTTGTCTTCCGTGAAAAACAAAAAACGAGGAGCCAAAAAAAGAAAAGTCGGAGTCTGCACTTGGAGAACATTTCATTAAAACTAGAAATATACTTTTTTAATAGAGAAAGGGAAATACTAGGATAATCTAAAGTTCTGATAATACATTAATAAAATTTCCAGCTTAAGGAAAAAATAATTAAGAATTGTCTAAATTAGAAGTTGGGTTTAAGTAACTATGATTTTAACTAAGAATTGTCTATATATTGCAAGAAATGCTATGGCTTTTAGCTTTCTTAACTTTTTTAGCTGTGTTTTTTCTTGACAATTATTAATTTTTAAATAATATTATCTCAGTGTAGCATCCCCGTGCCAAGTCTCTGCAGCATTTGCATCCCCTGCTCCCCCGTGGAGCACGTGTCTTTTTAGTTTTTTACCTACTTCGCTTGCTGGCGGAGAAGGAAGCGATTTATCCAGGGAATCTTTCTGCGCAGTTGCTTTAAGGCATCCAAGTCGGGGTGAGGGAATCTCTCGGAGATTACACAACTTTATGGGGTCCATGGTGGCTGAAGTGGAGCTAGCCACAGGTTGATGTTAAATGTCAATTGGCATACCCCAGAGGATCAGTGGCGCATTAATTACGCCATCGCACTGCACTCTCTATTCCCAATCCCCCAACTTCAGTTCTTAAAATTTTCCAGAGTGTCTACGATGACGTTTATAATGATGTTGTTGATCTCGTAACGCTTTGCACTTAGGAGCGTTTCTTTCTCTGTTTTTTAGGCAGCCCCCAAGGAAAGTCAAGTTTTGATTTATATACGTATAGCTGCGAACTGCACTTGTAATAGGAGATCTTCAAGAGGACTACGACACTTGGAGAGGTTTCAAAGGAGATGGATAGATAGGTAGAAGGTTTTTGGGATTTACTTAGATTATATTTAAATATACTAAATGGCACACCCTGGTTAGTTTTCCAGTTCTTAAACTTCTACTTCTTAAACTTAAATTCATTACTTCCTCAAATCTGTCGACATAAATTTTAGTTGTTCAGTTTGGAGTTAGGGATTTATTACCGGCGACTTGGGCCAACGAAACCCACACACTTTGCACTAAGCCCCGACATGCATCTCTGGATTTCCCCTTTCGGAATTTGATCAACATTCTGGACTGCCATGTCTTCCGATCCAGAAACTTCGCCCTAGACTACCTCTGCTTTTCCCAGTTCTATCGCCAGCCAAACTCCCACTCAACTCACAGCTCCTTCGCACTCAACGCTCCTGTTCGGCGGCATGATTATGAGGTGTGTAATTAAAATTTTTACGCTCTTGTCTCTGGCCATGTAATTCAATTATGAAGAATCATTTGTAGCAGATGAATGTCTGGCGACATCTAATGCTTTCTGTTGTATTTTTAGCGGGGCTCGTCTGTCTCTGTTTTCCATTCCCAGCTGGCGAGTGTGGAATCCCATAAGTTGGCCAGCTCACCGGATGATTCGCGGAAGAAAATTGAGCCATAAAATAATCAACGATTTTCCCCCAGCCAACTGCTGATATTCACAATTAAGCACATGACATGGGAATTCGCATAAACAATATATGTATTGAATGATATGACGTCGTCGCTGGCAATGAGAGACTCCGTGGAGCAACCAATTGGGTCTCTGGTCCACTTTTGCCCGATGTCTGGCCGGCGGACTTAATAGATTTCTTTATCTTCGAACGCCGCAAGTTGCCAGACAAGACGTGCGGAATGTTGGCAAAACAAAAGGCGATTCCGCGGACAAGTGAAAATTAATTTGCGTAAATATTTACCCAAAGTATAATTGGTATTTTAGGTGCGCCTGCTTTACAACAGAACAAGGTATGGATCATCCAATTCATTCAATTGGCTGACTCAACGTTATTGAAAAATTCGCAAGATTCTTTTTTATTTGCGCATGGACTTTCAATTATTTGCGTCAAGGATTGTGACGTAGGAAAACAAAATGGGAATAGCTGGGGAAAAATGATCGGTTTATGAGGCACATACATATAGAGTTTTTGGGAAAATATAGATAAAAAGTGGATTTAAAAAAGCTAAAAGACTGTTTATCTTTATGGCCTATGAACATATAGGTATCATTTCTTTTAATAGACTGTATTTCTATTATTTAGTTTAACATAAATTTAATGGTTATGATATTAGCCAACGGAGAATACCTTTGTTCATTGGTTTTTAAGGAATTTATCATACATTTTCTTGGAATTAATAATAAAATAGAGAATTTGAGTTAAGCAGGCCAATGAACTAAGTGAAACTAAAGCATTTTCCAGTCACTCTGCCAATTCTGAATGTTTTGAATGAAGGGTCTTCAATGAGTGATCGTAAATCTCCCTAAAGAGAATGCCAACAGCCAGCACTCCATTCTCAATGAGTGCAATTAAAATGCGCAAATAAGCTGAATGAATGGACGAAATTCAATGCAGATTTAATGAATGATTTACATAGAGAGCGGCGACAAAAACTATTTATAAGAATGCCCTATAGATGCGGGCAGCGGACCTCGACGGGTTCCACATTTGTATCTCTTGCTCTTTCACAGAATCTCGGGGAGTTTGTGTTTTTGTGTTTTAATTGCGCCATTTCCCATATCAGCTGCCCGATTATTTGTTCTAGTCAACGGACATAAATAAAACTAACAAAAAAGGAAAGAAGAGTCGAGCGGAGGGTGAGTTGCAGATACACAAACAGAGACTCAGAAAATCTGACTAATTGGATGCTGCCCGACATTTGATTTGTTATTTATTTACAATGTTTGGGAATCTCCATTATGACTGCTCCGCACACAAATTGACGGATGACCTCCGCCACCCTATGGATACTACTCATATCTAATGGATATTATTCCCTGCACTTAGTTTATATTTTCCCTGGGAAAAAAGATCGCACTTTGCCGATTTTAGGTGGGCTAACTGGAGCCAAAGTTGAAGAATAACCCCAGAACACGATCTTGGCCCCGCCCGGTTGTTTGTTTGGGTCTCGTCTCCACTTGGGGACAACCTTAAGTGGATTGCTCCAGATCGCTGGCCCCCGGACTACTAATCGTTCGGGTTCGGGTTCGTAAGATAAATGCGTTGGCGTTCTGGGAAATTGCCAATGCGTGTTTGTGTGTGCGCGCCCTCAAATGCATCTCATTCCGTCCACTTTCACAGTAGTTTCGTGGGCCGATCATGATCATTAGGAATTCCACGGGGGAGGAGTGGCCAACTCCTCAGACTAACTTGTGTAGATCGGCTTGATTTGGTGTCAAGTGAGTCCGGGGCGTGAACGAGTTTGTCATGTTTATGTCGTGTTCTGGACATGCAACACCACCAGGGGTTACAAGAAACCCAAAACAGAAAGGTATTGAATGGTTTCTAGTGCGTGGACAACTCTATTTGGTTGTTAATTACTATAAGGGTTCCTAAATAAAAAGATGTACTAAATTCTAAATACTTATAACATAGCAAAGGATTTTGATTTTGACTTTTTACAAGTCATATCTTTAAGAAAAGGTTTTTAAGTTTATGGGTGCTGATTTGTAACGTTTTCTATAATTTTTACATAACCAAGACATCTTCTTTTTCCTTTCTTCATTTAAATACCCCCTTTAACCCCACAATTCCCAGATAATAAATCCTCGGCGACATTTTTTATGAGCTTCCAATTATTCTTGAACTCACCCAAAGACATTTTGATTCCTTCCTTTTAATAACTGCTGGAAAAGTTTTCAGTAGTCAATAGTTGCGGCAGCCCTCTTCGATTTGGGCAGTCTTTTCACCTGTTGGCTTTGCACTTGTTATGGCCAGAAAAGGCGCTTCCGGCGGATACGTCAAAGTTTTGGACACATTTATAGAAGAGGGAGACCTGCGAACCATAGAAAATAGATTGGGAGGCACAACGATTAATATTAAACAAATTTATTTAATTAAATATGCGCATGGCAAAGCATGAAAAGCAGAAAAACCATAAATGTGGAAGGGAAGGTTGGAATTAAAACTAAAGTACAAAGTGGAAATGTGAAGAGTTGACTTGTATGCCTAACGGTTTGTGAGGAAGCTCAATAGAAAATTCCCAACGGAAGCAGAAACTTTTCCGATTTCCCCCAAAAGCAGATCCGGAAATGCACCACCCCGGAATTTTTTTTAATAATTATTTTTAGAGATGCACTCGCAGAGTTTTGGCTTTTGTTTTTTACCTATTTGAATGCACAGCAGTTTACAACTTCCTTTCAGCCCAGTTTAAAGTGTGGCGGGCCGCGGTGACCGCAAACCGCAATTAGTCCATTAAATTATTAAGTACAAGGGCCATAAAATAACCATAAAACGCACACACATGCCCCAAGGCAATTTGTACACGGCTCCCTAGTTGGAAGTTTCGATTGGGGCTCGTTCCGAAATGCCACAGATATTTTTATTGGCATATTTCTTATTCGTAAGTCAATTCACATTCGCGCTGCATATTGATTTCGATTCTGATTTGGTGCGAGAAACTCTTCCCCGCCCCCAGAAACGTCCCCATTCCCCTTAACAAACTTCGCAATCGCTGGCATCAATACATCAACGCTTGACCATTCCACTCGTCTTCGGAACACAAAAAGCGTGTATTTGATTCGAATTTGTGTCGAAACCTTGATGAAAAAGTTTTATTTTACGGCCACGCAAATGTATCAAAGAATTTTTGTGGCTTTTCTTGGTTTCTTCGGAGAGAAATATTAGTTTGCCTGTTGCACAAACAGAAATGCGTTGATTTGTCGGTTTTGACATAGCCAATAAATTGTGAGTTTATATGTTTGCAGTTACTTTTCGAAGATTAGAGTTTTCCAAAGAATTTTTTTGTGTAAGGTGTTGAGCGAATTACCACTGATTTCCGAATATGTTACAATTTATATTATTTTTAAAGGATTTATCTATCTTATCTTTCTTTTTAAATATTTTCCTTAATATTGTATCTGTAAATCAAAAAGAGAACCGCAGTATAAGAAAACTCTAGCTGACTGGAGTGCTCACTACATATATTCAGAATTGTATTGTTTACAACTTTGTAACCCAATTAGAATTCTTAGAAATGCTCATCGAACCAGAAAATAGTTTCTAAAGTTTTCGTTTTTCCTCACGTATTGTTTACTCGCGAGCATCTAAATATAGTAAATAATATAGTTTGTACGCATAGTGACATTGAAAACACAAGTGAATATATTAGATGCTCCTTACAAGCCATTAAAGATGCAATTATTAAATAAATAAGACATTAAAAAATCTCGTAAAATGTTCCTCTCTCTTTTTTTCCAGAGAACTGAGAAAAGCAATTAAAGCCTATAGTTCGGATCCGAATCGGGAATGGGATTGGGGTTTTTTTTTTTTTTTTTTGCTCGGGGACAGCTGCTGTTCTGCCTTCGTTTAAGACGATTATTTCATTTAAGATGGTGACATTCATTTGCATATCAATGTGAGAGTGCTCCCCCTTCGGACGTCCCCCATGTGTATGTGTTTTCGGCTTGATTGCTACGATTTTCATTACGTTTTACCGGATATTCCAATTTAGGTAAATGCGACGTTGCCAGCAGCCAACAGCCAGCAGCAGCAGCGGCAGCGGCAGTAGCAACATCAGAAGCAACAGCAACTACAGCGGCAACATCGACATCGGTCCGAGCGAGAGGCACGGGATTAATGTGCCCGTGGCGACATCCATCAGCAGCCAGCCCAAAAAAAAATAAAATAAAAGCAGAACCCAAGATCAAGTGGAGCACAACAATCCGTGGAGACAGTTGTCCCGGGGGATTGAACTGCCAGACTTCTCATTAAATCCGCTTTCTTTTCCAGAGATTCCAGCACCTGTCTGCTGATTCACGTGAAAATTTCTATTGTTCACATTCAGTGTTTAATTAATTTCATTTTGGTTGGAGTAAACAAATTCGTATGAAATGCGGCTGGCAAAATATTAATAGGAAATTTGGTCTATAAATACTTGCAATGAATCAACCTTTGTGCTTAAAGTTGGGTCCCCAAAGTAAACAAATAAATAAATGGAAAATAACCAGATTAGCATCAAAGTGAATAAATTTATAAATGTTATATATATTATTTTAGGATTTGTCAACAAAAAAATTTCCAACTACATATATGTTTAAAAAAAAAAACTTAAAATCATTTAGTTTACTTAGGAGCCTAATCTCCTTACACGTCACTTTTTCAATTATAAAACTTTTCGCTTTCGTGGATGACTTAATTTAAATCATAATTTTTGTAATTAATCACGTTTATATTTGAAATCAGCACGTATGACACGCATCGAAAACTGCACCTACACACGGAGAAAAGCGGAGCGATTCCGACGAACTGCGATCCAGAAGATTGACGATTGACGAGCGGCAATTTACAAGATCGTTTGCGCCGCGTCGGCCAAGAGTTTTGCAATTGAGCGCCACACGAAACGGAATACAATCGATTAAATCAATTGAAGCGTTCGCAGCGCGCTTTTCGGTTTTCGAATTTGTCAAACGGCCAATAAAGAAACAAAAAAATTAAGTTATTCAAAAATTGAAATCGCTGGCCGTCGTCGAGCTGGGAAGCGTTGCCAATAAAATTTATAATAAATATGCCCCAGTCAGAAGAAATACGTCAGCGTCGAAGAGAAGCCAATTTATGTGCGCAACAACAATAAGATCGTTTGTAAACAATTAAAATAATTTGCTGGACGACCAAAACAAAAAATTCCAATTGAATAAGAGATAGAGAAAGCTACAAAAGAGTAGGGGGAAAAATGGTAAAGAGCGCAAAAAAAAGAGACCTGCATTGTAAGAGATTGAGAAGGCTTGTTAGTTTATTTATATAAAAAAAGAGTAAATGCTTCAAGTGAATTCTTCACATAGCATACGTTTATGTATATGTATCTTAGAAAATTGGAGCAAATGAAAGACAGCGAGAGCAGCTGCGGAAAAATGTAGCACAGTAAACAGCTGACGCTAAATGATCGAGGAAAATAGGCAAAAGAACGCAAAAAGACAACACGCATACGCAATGTTGTACAGCGAAAACATTTCCATTCCACCCACGATACCAATGCGGTTTTGACAAGTAATCATGTTTGGTTTTAAGTAGCTTTTTTAGTCAAATACAATTCATCATATTTCATAGTAATTTTTTTATAATGCAGGCATGATTAATCAAAATAAATACTATATATAATATTTATGATTAATCGCTGAATGTAAGAAGACAATTATTTATTACTCTTTAAGATTAAATATATTTAATATAAAATATTATTATAAACTTATAAATAGCAAAATGATTTTTAAGTGGAAAAAATGAAGTCCCTAAAATAATATAAATATATAAAGACTTTCCCTGTCTTAAAATTCTAAAGCGTGCTGTATTTGCAGAATTCCCAGGAATCTTGTGTGCTGTCTGACATTTTGATGGATTTCACTCTGACATTTCTCATGTTTGCAATGTTAAATGCGCCTTTTCCCCTTCCCATTTTTAACATTTGTGTCGCCAGTGTTTTTATTTATATGTTTTTCGGTTCTTCGCTTATCGCGATCAGCGAAGCGTTCGAGTTTGTGCCAAAAAAAAAAATGCGATATGTGGGTGCACCACCAGCTAAAACCGAACGCACTGCCAGTGGCACCACCGAAACCGTTGAAACCACCGACTCAGTGGCGCTGGCACGCACGTTTTACGAGCTTCGCTTTTTGGCCACTTACAGCACATAAATACAAAGTTGTTGACAAGCGCATAAAGACCTCGATGAGGTCGTTAAATTGATTTAAATTTTCATAGACCCAGCAGCGACAATGAATATGGCCAACAATTAAAATTTAGTTCAATTGTTTTCATTTGTCAGCAGTCTTTCGTCGAAATTTGCATTTGCATTTGAAAGCCCCAATTATATTGCCTCAACCCCTTTGGCGGATTTTTATCTTTAGCCCCATTCGAAACATCTGGGCCTGGTTTGGCATGTGTTCCTCAGGTGCTGGCGAATAGTCAAATTAATGGCGTTTGCTTGCTTTGAATTCAAACAGATGGCATAAACGAATGCAAATGAACGGACCAATGATAAGCGGGCATAGAATTTGGCACAGAGAAAGTCAGGTGCTGCAGTCGGGGGAAATAGTTGGAATTATTGGCCTAAAAATAGAATTTTTACTGACACTGAATTTATCAAATAAAATGTATCTGTTTAGATATTACCAAAAGTGTTTAAGAAATGTGGTTACACATTTAGCACTTTCAAAAAATCAGACAAACATCTCATTTTCCAGTCACATAAAATCGTAAAAACTTAAATCGATTTTGCATAAATTCCTTCCAAAAAAGGCCCAAATACATTCACGTTCTGTACAGTATTCACACCGAAATGACGGATTACCTCACGGATTGATCTCCATAAAAATCCAGCTTTATTTCTGGCCGAGTCGTGTGCCAAGCGAACAATGCAATACAATAACTTATGCGATCGGTACCAAAACACAAAATGACCAAGAAATAAAAGCAGTGAAATGCAATAAAATAAATCTATGCAACAACAATTGCTGGCAGGCACAAAAACAACATTGTGTGAAATATGTCAGTATGTGTGTGCCTGGGTACATGTGTGTGTGTATGTGGGGGGCAGTGTGTGGAATATTAATTAAAGTTGCGAGCTTTGATTTCTTCCCAACGACTGGGAGGCAGGCGGACAAGTGTTTTGCGTTGTAAAAACAAGCGAAACCAAAACACCAGAAGCCTCGGCGGGAAGAATATCCAGACACTGAGAGAAATAGTGGGATAAATGTGATATCCTTCCATTAATTCCACTGGTTAAGCCAATTTTTCGAGACTCGAAATGTGCTTTTGATTTAAAAATTTGATGATATATTTTTTATCACAAGAAGGGGTTGTAAAATCTAATTAATCTAATTATTTACATAATCAAGACTTATTAACTATTTAAAATAAAGTAATGTAGGATATGATTTAAAAAGGTTTTTTGATTATTTCTCTCCGTGCATCTCGCACAAGCGATGAAATTCAAATTCGAATTAAACGCATTCCAGAGAAGAGCAGGCATGCAAAACGCGTAGCGCGAGATCAGCAGCGAGATTAAAAGGGGAAAGGGTGGATGTGGGGGAGGGCTCGGACTCGCAGATTGCATAAATGGCAACCATTTGCAACAGCATTTAGCATTAAACATTTATGAAGCCCTCTTTTGCATTTAAGACACGCATCTTGCGTATTTCGCCTTGATGTTGATCGACAGTTTGACATTTTATGTCGTCGCCGCCTGTCAAAAGAACGGCGGTTACTTTTTTTCTTGCTCACTTCGTGGATTTTTGCAATGCCATTTTTGTTATTATTAGTTCGCAAAAAATGTGTTTCTCCCTTCGCTCGAAACTTACCGATTATCCCCGATAGATGGCGCAGTGCTCTTGTTGATTCAATCTAGATTGTTTTCCTTTTTTTCAGAGCAACAAAACAACACACAAAACGTTTCAAAAACACAAACACACGGAGGTAAACAAATGCGGAATTCCAGTCCCGAGCACTTTCCTCGATTTTTCCGCTGCACTCGCAGTCCGAAATCCGGCGTTTAGGTATATATACATATATATGTATTCAGGGAGGCTATGGCCCACCGATCCGATCCGATCCACGCCAAAACCAAAACGAAAATTAAATAGCCGCCGCTCGTTGGCTGCCCGTTTTCAGTTTGCTTTTTCTGCTTTTCTGCCCAGCGGACCAAAGAGAAGCGGAGCGGATCGCTTTGGATCGCAGAGTAATAAAAATAAAAGCAGAGCAGCGGACAAACAACAACAACAACAAGCAACAAACAGGGGAGGGGGTGGAAAAAGTTTGGCGCGCTTTGGCGCTCGTTTGCATATGTGTTTGTTCATGTAGACTCTCCCCAACGAAGAGAAAGCGAAAGAGCACTACAAAAGAGAGCACTGGCTTTCTCTTCAGGAAAGAAAGTTAGGACCCAGTATTTTCAAAAGTTTTTTTAAAAATTTGTCAACCATTCACTTGTTTTCATTAAAGAGTAAAAACATAAATTGATTTTCTCAATTTATACGCTCTATCCGATTTAAGAAGCCAATTCCCAGCGCAAAACACCTGAATAAACCTTGATCGCTGAATTGGTTTGCTCTAACCACATTTCGTTGACTTATAAGACTATGATTTAGTCACATTTTTTTAGTCGTATTTCGGTGAATGTCCACAATGGTGTCGATAAAGTACATCTTGCTATTCCTAGCCGTATTCTATTTCCTGGATGATGTTGCGGCGGTGACTTGTGATGTGGCCCCAACGGATTCATCCTGTATCGATTGCCGAGTTTATCCAGTTCATATCGAATGTTTGCAGAGGCTTTGGACCCAAACCACAACTGCTGCCCCACTGACGGTTGCCACCACCAGAAGGTCCCGAATCGGAAAAGTTCGCAACTTTTTCAGCACTTTCTTCTCGCGAATTAGGAGTAGGAGTTGGTTCTGAGTGACAAACAAATAAATGCGACAATTTTTCAGTCATATTTGAACATGTGTACAAGAAAAATGTTTTTTTTTACGACATTCATAACAGATAAGGTGTATTCAATTTTACCAAAAATTTTGATCATGGGAACGGCCAAATGTAGGCTAAACTTTTTTTATATTGGCTCAGCCCAAAAGAGTGCACTGATTTCTTAATATTGTTTAAAAGTGCTGCACGGTTCGTATTTTGATTTTCTTTTTAACATAGTAATATTAAAACAAGTCCCTTTTTTTAAATATTTTGTATATTTTTCTTATTTTTTGTTTATTTATATTTTCATGATATTTTAGCCCGATTTCTTTAACAACATAACTTTCCGTTTGATTGAGTAGATCAAGTTATTTATGGTGAAGTTCCTCCTATTTGGCGTTCTTCGCGTTGGGTTTGAAGTTGTTGTTGCTGCTGTTGTTGTGGATGTTGTTGTAGTTGGAGCCACTGTGGTTGTCGTTGTCGTGGTGGTGCATTCATCATTGGTAGGATTGTTGGTGCAATCGACGCAATTAGCATCAGTGGGATCATCTGCGCAGGTGACAGCCATGGAGCCTCTTAAACAGCAGAAAATCGCAGCAATCAGGATAAGATACTTAGTTGCCAACATTCTAATCGTTGTAATTGGTCTTCTAGTTTCCAAATTTGCAATATACGGCTTAAGTATTTCCCAGCTTATTTATACTAATCATTAGGCTTTACGGAAATGTGGTTTGTTTGTTCAGTTGTTTCGATTGCGAAAATTTGCCAAAAGATTTTATCAAAGTGTTTACTGATTCTTCATAAATTGTTTGATTAGATAATATCATTATTTGTTCTTTAAACATCCGCAAAGATGTGACAGTGTAAACAAATAAAACCAAGGTTTTTTACTATAATTGATCATACAGTTCAAAATAGTTCAAATGTGTCATCCATTTTTACAATTTAATTAAGATATAATATTTGTGGCAAGACTATATAGTGTCTAAAATAAAGGATAATGATAATTTCTTAAGTAGATATCCCACTGTATCACTTTACAGCACTTTTTGCCGTTAACAGTGAACAATTTTCGAAGATAAGGCAACGCAGTCAAGCTGCAGGTGGCATCCCTACCCAAAACACCGTGCGAATAGCAGTGCGAAGAAGAACAAGAACTGGGCAACGCAATGGCAATTCCTCTTTCTCCGGTCGTTCGTGGGCATTTTGCGAGAAAACTTTTCGCCGCATTTAAAAACGGACGCAGCAAAGCATGCGAACGGCATAAAGATTGGATTTAAGGTAAAAAAACGCAACACCGACGGCTGATTTGCCTGGGACCTATTTAACCTCAAAATGACACCGATAACCTCGACGAAAAATTAAAATAAAATAATTCAAGTGCCAGTTCAAGAATTTCGGGCGTGTGATGTGTGTGATGTAATCGCCCGGCCGCAAAATGCGTTTGCCGTCTGTCGCTATTTTGGCAAAAATTTGATTTGCCCCAGGTTTGTTTACGTTTATGCCGAGCTTGCGGTCTGGAATATAAATAAAAACGCCGACTTAACCTCATTTATAGTCCAAATTGGTGTTTATAAGTTGGAATATTTTGCATGTAAAAAGCTTGGACACGAACAAAGCGCGCAGAATGGGCGAGTGCCTTGAGTGCGAGCGAGATGACTATCTTGTGAGGTGTTGGAAGTCAGTGGTGCGCAGTATTCAAGGAAAATAACTAATAATTTGTAATATGTTAAATGCATTTTTATTTATGTTACAGTTTTGCATAAATATTTATGTAGTAAAACGAGCGAAACATTAGATTGTTTATATGTTCGTGTTGTTGCTGTTTTGAGCATAAGTTAGCTAAATCTAGCTGAGGAATTTGGTTTTAAGTCAGTACTGCTGGAAGTCTTTCAGTAAAGATCCAATGGATAAATTTTTGAAATTTCTTAAAAACGCATACAAAATGTAAAAAAATATTTGAAAACTTGTGGTCTAATACAATAGCATTTACCGGTCTGCGGTGATAGTTTGTTTTGTTTTGATTGTAACGATTTAAACACCCTTGCCAGACATCTGGCAACGCCGTAGTTGCTCTCTCCATCTCCCACGGTCTTCGCTCCTTCTGAGCACATGTTGTGCCACCAATTGTTGCTCTTTTCGAATTCCGTATATTTTTGTGCAACTCCTTTGTTTACGCGTATGGCGGACTGAAAAAGTACTTTTGTTACAGGGCTAGCGAGTGATGAACAATCAGCGGTATGGCGGCATTCAGTGGATACAGCACCACGTCTCCGCTGGGGATTCCTCCGAGGTGGACATCCTGGAGAGCGATGGTGCAACGGGAGCGACAGGCGAGGATCTGGACCATATGGCAGCCGAGAATCTGATATTTATGGCGCGTGACGGTCAGCTGAGCGAGATAATGGCGGCCAACGAGGCGGGCGGAACGGTTCTGGTCACTGCCGACGGGACAACGGTGGCATACGCCGAATCCTTCGATGACGACGCCCAAGTGGTCACCGAGGAAGTTATCACGGACGACTGGGTTCAGCACCAAGGAGCTGAACGGTAAGTCCAATTGAATATTCTTCAGATGATTTTTCTTAATGTGAAAAATTACCTCTTTGTACAGTGTGGAAATCGCCGCCGAGCAGATAGCCGGTATAAGCAGCTCGCAGGAATTGCTGGACATGGAGCAGGATGAGTACACCGCGCTGAGACCCTATCCCTGCGACTTTTGCAGCCGTCGCTTTCGAAAGAAGGCCACCTTAAACAACCATATGTTGGCTCATCAGAACGATCGACCGCATCTCTGTAAGCTGTGCGGAGCACGATTCTCGCGTCGTCCGGAGCTCATCAGTCATTTTAAGGCCCACGCAGAGGCCCAGGATGCAGCCGATGCCGAGGCAGCAGCAGCCGCAGCAGATTCCTCCTCATCCATTAAGTTTGAGCACCAGTCGCAGCGGCAATTCGATGATCACTACTACGAACAGGAGTACCAGCTCTACCAGCAGGAACAGGAACAAGCCCAGGAGCAGGAGTTGCAGCAACAGCGACATCAGGTCGTGGAGGAGGGCGAGGTTCAACTCGTGGCCAGCTACCCGGCGGTTGCACAGCCCGCAGCTCCGACACGAGGTAGAATAAGTCGGTTGAAGCCCAAGGAGGAAAGTAGCCAGTTTATAGTTATTTCGGACAAGCCGACTGCCAGTGAGTTGAGGGACTACATGGACACGGAGCCGACTCAGCCTGTGGTCAGCACGTCACAACCAGTTGCCGTCGAGCCTCCTCCTCAGCCGAATTTCCCAGTGCTGGACGACAGTAAACCTTTCGTGTGCCAACAGTGCGGATTGGCCTTTGCGCGGGAAAAAGCACTCGTCTCACATACAAAGGTAATAAAGGACGCGGTTAAGGATTCATGAACGTCTTCAAAATATTCATACTTTTACCTAAAACCAGCTTAACCAGTTTATGCCCAAAATCATCCACTAATTATTCGTATCGTGCTTCACTAGAATCACCGCGTGGACTCGCCATTCGAATGCAACCAGTGCCAGGAAATGTTCTGGGATAACAGTAGCCTGCAGGAGCACCAAAAGACGCACCAATTCGAGGAGAGCAACTCTGAGTACGATCCTGCGTCAGCGGAGGATAGCGCCAGCGAATCGGAGCCAGAGGAGCAGTTGTACGGAGAATTCTATTGCAACGAGTGCGGAATCTCTTTCCATCGTCAAGATCTACTGCGGCGACATGCCAAGCTGCACTATAAGCAAACGGATCAGGCGCCGGGAGAAGGCAATTCCGAAGTCACTGCTGGCGGAGATGTGGAGCTTGTCAAAGATTCAAGCGGTCACTGTTGCAACACGTGCGGCAAGTCCTTTCCCAGCGCTTTAGAGATGCTCTCTCATGCTGAGATCCACGCTCGGTTTCCGGCCTTTAAGTTAGTAACACAAAGTACTATTCTGTAAACTTGTTTGCTAAGTTGCCTTATTTTTTTCAGGTGCGTCCTGTGTGGAATCAGCTTTTACGAGGAACAGGCAATCAAGCGGCACCTTCACACCCGCCACCCCAGCGAACTAAAGACCAATTCCTGCGTACTTTGCGGCAAGGAGTGCCGCGACCGAAAAGCCCTGATAAAGCACGCTTGGGACCATTCCCGCGAGAAATGCCATTCGTGCTCCAAGTGCGGCAAGAACTTCCACAATAAGGCGCGTCTAAAGCGGCACATGGCCTCGCACCGCGACAAGTCGGTGGTGTGCGAGGTGTGTCAGGAAGAGTTCCCCGACGGACGGACGCTCTCCAACCACCGCCACTCCCACAGCACCACCTCACCGGGCAAACTGTTCCCGTGCCATGAGTGCGGTAAGACGTTCGGGTCGCGTAGCTCACAGCAGATCCACGTGCGCATCCACACGGGCGAGCGTCCCTACGGCTGTCGCTACTGCTGGAAAGCCTTTGCCGATGGCGGCACTCTGCGCAAGCATGAGAGAATACATACGGGGGAGAAACCTTATGCCTGCTCAGTCTGTCCTCGCGCCTTCAATCAGCGGGTGGTGTTGCGCGAGCACATACGCTCCCATCATTCTGGACTGGATGTGGCGCGGAATACGTACCACTGCACGGTCTGTTCCGAGGATCTGGCATCGTCTAACGACCTTATCCAGCACCTCATCCAACACAGTGACTCAAACACAGCCAAACAGCGTCAGCCCGTTGTAAGTATTTCTTTGTTGTCTTATTTCCTCAATAATAAGCATGTTGGCTAATTGCTTTTAGACGGGGCCGCGTAAATACAAGAGGCGCCGCAAACTGCAGCCGCATGAAATCGCCCATATGCGTGCGGAGCACAAAGGCGCCAACGAGGAAGAGGAGGAGGAGGAGTCCACGCGAAAAGGCGATGCAGATGAGTACGCCAGTGACATCGATCTTTGCGACTTTGCTGTGGACGATCTCTTTGACATGGCAGAGTCGCCGAAAAAGGAGAAGCGAAAAAGAGCCGCTGCAGCTCCAAAATCTGAAGCTAAGCCCGTGACCAATGGCAAATCGACAAAGCCTGTTCAAGAAAAGAACAAGGTGAAACCGAGATACGACTCCACCAGTAGCCAGCAATCGGATCGCATTTGGGAGGAAAAGTTTCTGCACGACAGCCAAGTGGCGCTTTTCCAGATCGATTCTCTGGTGGTGGTCAACGATACTCATCTCCAGCCCGCCACTTCCGCTGCATCCTCAGCGATGCCCAATACGAGGGGTGCGGCCAAGCAACAAGGAAAAGCGCTGACGAAACCTGCAGAGCAGGGATCAGGAAATTTCAATTCAACCGAAGCGCCAAGCGTTTCCACATCCTCCGCCACCAACTCTTCTTCCAGTTGTCGTAGTAGGAAGAAGGCAGGAACCAGCAAGACTGTCAACAAAGCACCACCTGCCAGCAGTTCGCGTCCTCGTATGATTCACACGGAGAAGGCTAAGGTGCCTAAGGGAAACGCCACAGAATCCTCCAGTAGTGCGAGCAAGAAGACGCGGTCAAAAACCTACATCAGTCGCACGGAGACGACCAATCTGGGCTTGGATAAGACCCGCAGCAGTGCCTCTAACATGGTCGATGACTATGAGATCATTTCCCCGGCCACCCATCCACCAAATCAGATCAGCTCCAGTCCCTTGCACATAAAACAGGAGCAGGAGCAACAGCAGCGTGTCCAACTGATGTACGACGACAATCTCTTGATAGACGCTGGTCTGCTGAGGGAGAAGACGTACGAGAAGTTTGACCCGAGCATTGTCAACGATCTGGAGGAGATTTTGCGCTCGCCACTCAAGCACGAGAGAAATTCCCGCCTGCGCTTTACTAGCGAATCTTCGACCACGCCGCAGTTTCTTCCCGAAGAGGAACAAAACCTGATCAAAATCGAGCCAACGTCTCCAGATTTGCGGGAAATGGTGGAGAGTCAGCAGAGAGTAACAGCTCCTACTGGTAACACTCCTTCATCCTCCTCTTCTGCCAGAACTTCCAGACATCTGCGACAGATCACTGCCAATGGTACCAGGGCAGGAAGCAAGAGATCGGCGGGAGGAGCTCCGACAAAATCCTCAGCGAACTCGGGAGTGGCTGCCAAAAAAGCGAGCACTGCCACCAAGGTCGGGGGCAGCAGTTCATCCTCGTACCTCGGCTACGGGGTGGACGCCTATAATGTAAACGGTGCTGCTAGTGCCAGCACTGCCGATGTGGGCGGCGGATTCTTTTCCATCTCGGAAGTTGTTTCCGCTGCCGATGCTGCGGACGCGGCGGCCAAAGCGGCGGCGGCTGGTAAATCGGAACGGAAAAGCCGCAGCTTCGAGTGCGAAATGTGCTCGGCGATCTTCTATGATCGCGCCCAACTGCTGGAACATGTACACATTCATATTTGAATGGAAGCTACCTAAACCACTCGCCCGAAGCCTTGTATTTTTTGAAACCGCTTATCCTAATATACAAACTAATTCGAAGTGAATTACCTCATGGTATCGTGCATCGAAACATATATCGTTGACTTATGCGTTATTTAAAATTTGAACATATACAACTATTGTAGAGAGCTTAGTTCGTAAGACTTTTAAGTTTGTACCTTTTGTTTTGAAGAAATGGTATGCTGGAATAAATACATCATTAAATGGTTTTTCATTGCCTTAAGTTGTGTGTAATGTTGAGATATAATCTGCGTTTTGTCGTCAATAACCATGATAAGATGGGTTGATGTAACACTGTTTATTGTTTGAAATCGCTTTCTGGAAATCTTTTTTTCGTAAGTACACGCCAGGCTTTAATTAACAAGTTGCCTACAAAAGATCGAAATGAAATGTAGTTATACTGTGATATGTATTAATAAACTATTCAACTGTGCTAGTAAACCTCTATCAGATGAGTAATAGCAAGTAATTGCATATATTCCAATGTAACGCTGAAAAAATAGAAATGATATATGTGCTACAAGCACATAGAAAAAGTAGATTCTTAGGTCATAACGACTTGACCGACCTTTGTAGAAATACTTTGTGATAAGAGCTGATTTCTCCGTAAACCAGATGTTTGTGTTTGCTATTAAGCCAAGATTATAAATATGCATATGAGTATTCTTGTATATATAGAGAGAGCACAGAGTGTGGCTTGCTTTTCGATTTGTTTAAACAGCTTTTCAATTAAAACCACAGCTGCTGTTTTGACTGTAGATCAGAAGAATCTTTATCTACTGGGAAGAACCTTTCCGCTTTTTAACAAATCAATTAATTAGCACTAATGGGATACGTGACCCTAAATACAACTTTTTCAAACGGGTTTGTTTGCTTTCAATAATTTAAATAGATGTTAATTTGAATGGGCGTATCATTCAATATGAACTATAAATGTTTGCATAAGGAACCACCCAAATGACTCGACTTGTAGATACCCAGCTGTGCTTGGATACCCAATGAGGAGACACCTATGTAGTTGTGGCTCACTTCTGTGACTATAACTAGGGGAGATGTGGGGGTTGTGGGCATAGTTTTGTTTTTGGCTTATAATTACCGAACTAGTGCATATTATTTGGACATATGGGTATCTGTGTAAAGCTAGAGACCTAAGCTAACTAATTATGAAGAAACATACTTGATTTTGTCATGCGAAAAAATTTCATATGGACTTTTGTAAAATCGTAATTTTCAGCTAAAATTTTTTTTGGGGGGGTTATGGGCACCCTGGGAAAAAATGCTGCAAATGGAATAATATGGAAAAAAAACCGCAACCAATATCAACAAAATGACAATTTATTTATTTCAAAGACTACATAGGCGTTATTCATCGTCGGAAACACAATTTTGACATGTATAATGACTGCCCCGCATGTCCACACATTTCGGATGAAAAGCTCGATCGCAGATGTCACAATTGAGTGTTAATCCCTCTCAGCGGGAGAGGATCCTTTTCCAAGAGTCTAAGATTTCTACAAGAATGTTCTAGAGGGTTCCAAACAAATTTTGAAAACAATTTTACAAAAAATTGTAGGTAATAAAAAAATTTGTCAAAAAAAAAAACGGGTGCCCACAACCCACCCAATTTTGGTGCCCACAACCAACTTTCGCAGACATTTTAAGAAGTAATTAAAAAATGTGTTTGCATAAATTTTTTTGGTTCAAATCGATATTGTTCCATTTAGTATAATGCTTTGACTAAATAAAAATGCATTACACTTACCTTTTTAATCGATTCCCTTTAATTGATACACTATTGAAAATCTTTGAATAAAGTTTCACCACCTTTTCCAAGCACAAGAAAAACCAATTTGTTAATTTCAAAAGGCAAACGCGTTCGTTTACTTTGATATTTGGCATAAATCATACATAGGGTAATTGCTTGCGAATGACATTACCAAAAAAATTCAATCTTCATTTTGTGAAAATATACGTAGGGGTGCCCACAACCGACCCATGCCCACAACCCCCACTTCTCCCCTACATATGATGATTAAAAACTGGGGAAAATAGAAATATCATTTCATGGTTTTTTCTTACTTTTTCTCACCCGAGACGATTATACATTTGTAATAGAAATTAAGTCAGTCTATCTAACCCCAGATGACATCTTCGCATTGTATTTTTCCACTGTCGTTCTCTCGGTGAGATGACAGGTATAAATTTGGTCACATCGCTTTGTGTTCAACAGTTCTCTCAAAATCGTCGAGCAATCAACATGAACGGAGTGAAGTCGTTGTACATTTTGGGCCTGGTTCTCCTGAGCTTGGCTGCCTTTGTCGTAGCTGATAATGTGGTTGGAGGTGTAAAACAACTGGAGGGAGATGAAAGGAAGGCGGCTCTGGATCTCCTGGATACCAGTCTCGTCAAGTTGTCTTCTGGCGATGGCTCAAGCTACAAGTAAGTAAGCAAAAGTAAATAAATCAACTGATAAACTAAAAAATGGTTTAATTAAGGGCGATCAAAGTGACCTCGGTGACAGGTCAGGTTGTGGCTGGAACCCTTAACGTTTACGAGTTGGAGCTAGAGAAGGGATCCGACAAAAAGGAGTGCACCGTGAAGATCTGGTCGCAGCCGTGGTTGACGGAGAATGGCACCAACATCAAGATCAAGTGCGTCGGAGATGACGACGAGGTGGATAGCACCTGGTAAAGGGATCTATCTGTTTCAATTCCTGAAAAACCCATTTGTTTTCTGAAGGGATAAATTTAAATAAATTGATATGAAATAACACTGGCTCGAAAAAACCCTACGATATTTTTATATAAATTATTCAGTTCTCTAAATTTAAAAATGATTTACTACAATTTTTCATCAGCTTATTATTTTTGTTTTATTATTCACAATTTGCATGATAATATAACTGGTATAAAAGCTAGAAGTCAGTTGAATAAATCATTAATGCACTTATGAACGCTCGTTGAGAAGGAAACATAAGCGATTTGAATCGTTGTACTATTTCGTTTGGTCCTGTCAAGATCCGTTGCCATAGTCATGTCTGCTCATCAGTTTTTAGGAGGAATCGAGAATCTGCAGGGAGATAAGAAAAAAAAGGCCCTGGAACTACTCCATGACACCCTCGTAAAATTGGGCTCCATATGTGGCACCCACTACAAGTGAGTTGAGCCCGAAAATGTGAGGAGAGGATTTTTCTATTGTTTTTTGGATATCTCGATTCAAGGGTGGTGAAAGTGATCTCTGTGACGGGTCAGGTTGTGGCTGGAACTCTCAATACCTATGAGGTCGAATTGGATGATGGATCCGAGATAAAGCAGTATCACGTGGAGATCTTCATTCAAGTCTGGCTGAAGGAGAACGGCACCACCATCAGGATCAAGTGTGCCGGCCAAGATGTATTGAATTGCACTTGGTAAAAGGGTGTAGAATTCTGCACACTTTTCAGAAAAAGTAAAAAAACAATTTCGTTTTTGATTTTAATAAATTTTTAAAATTTTTTCTTAACATATTCTAAAATATATTTTTGGAAAGTTTACACTCAATGATTTTATTAGTTATCTTTTTAAATAATCTTAAATCTGGTGTTAAATTAAAATCAAATTTTTTAATTCGCTTTGAGACTGAATCTGCAGCTGAAGTTTTTTATTGTAATTTTTTATAATAATAGGCAGTAAAACTTTTACTCAATCGAAAGCTTTTTTAGTTGTTTTTCGACCGTTGAGAGAGAAACATAAGCGGTCAAGTCGTTGTACTTTTTGGTCGAGCTCTGTTGGGATTTGTAGTCATTGTCATGTCCGTCGATCACATTGTGGGAGGAATCAAGCAGCTGGAGGGGAATGAGAAGAAGGAAGCTCTCGAGCTACTGGATTCCACCTTCTCGCAGTTGGCCTCCAGAGAAGGTACACCCTACAAGTGAGTTAAATCCAACAAAATTGTTTGGCTTTACTATTGATTTTTGGATGTCCCCATTTAAGGGTGGTAAAAGTAACCTCTGTGACGGGTCAGGTTGTGGCTGGAACTCTCAATACCTATGAGGTTGAACTGGATAATGGATCCGAAGTAAAGCAGTGTCACGTGGAAATCTGGACTCAAATTTGGCTAAAGGAGAATGGCACCAACATCAAAATAAAGTTCGCCGGCGAAGATGTAGAATTAGATCGCACTTGGTAAAGAAGGAAGACTCGTGTTTATTGTAAACGCAAATAATTCTGAAGAATTTACGTTTAAAATACAAAAGATAAAAAAGTATTATCAAATAAATTCCCCGCTCGCTCTGTGGTGTGTAATGAGCTTTGCTCTCTCCAAATTAGTAATATGGTTTGCCATATTGGTGAGAAACTACATTTGTTTGTATAGTTACACTTATCGGATTCACAGAGTTCAACAATAGTGGTTGATAAGGTTGCAGGTGAAACTCTATACATATGAAATACATTTGTAGTACTGAAATCATGAATAACGAATTGATAAACATTTTCATCTTTTGTGTTTGACTTCATTAGTTAAATAGACAAATGTTGGTTATCGGAACGTTCTACTCTTTGTGTGCTTATTTGTTCTACTTCGTTAGTTATTCTCTAGCATTAATATGTTAAATTTTATTCGAAATAGTTTCTCCTAGTTCTTCTTCTGTTCTTGAAAATATTCAATATTTAAGAAACAAACTAAGTTATTTACATATATAAAGAAACTGCGGTTGGCAACACACTTGTTTGTTTCCTTTGTTTTCTTTGTGACTGTTGACACAAGGGGCATTACCGCACAGATGATGAATTGATTTATGATTAATTGCCACTCTTAACTTAACAAAAGTAAAACAAAATCATAAAATTATAAAGAAGATTTGTGTACATTAAATATCAAATAGAATACAAAATGGAAATAATTAAACTATTAGATATGATAATTATCTAACTGGTGTCACGAGTGATAGTTTTCTAAGTGTCTTTAATTATGTAGGGTAACTACATAGCTAGTGAACTCCGCATGTGGGGATTTTAATATTGATATTTCAGATCTCCACTCATTGTATTTTTTCCACTGTCTGTCATTGAAATGGCAGCTATAAAAGGGTCCCATCGCCCGGTGTTCAACAGTTCTCTCAAAATCGTCGAGCAAGCAACATGAACGGAGTGAAGTCTTTGTTCCTTTTCGGCCTGGTTCTCCTGAGCCTGGCTGCCTTTGTCGTTTCGGATGAAATAATTCTCGGAGGAATCGAACAGCTAAAAGGAGACCAGAGGCAGAATGCTCTCAAGCTTTTGAACGAAACCCTGGACCAGTTGGCCACTGGCGATGGACCAAGCTACAAGTAAGTTTTCCCCAAAACCCGGTTAGAATCTTCCACTCATTTTTTAACTTTAGGGCTGCTGAAGTGACCTCCGTGACCGGTCAGGTTGTGGCTGGAACTCTCAATACCTACGAGGTCCAGCTGGATAATGGTTCCGATAAAAAACAGTGCACCGTGAAGATCTTGACTCGTCCTTGGCTGAAGGAGAACGGCACCAACATCAAGATCAAGTGCGCCGGTGATGATGGCGAATTGGACCGCACTTGGTAAAATCAGAGTCTTCAGATTGTCAGAAAAAATGAAAAATAAAATTTATGTATTTTGAAATACATTTTCCGAGTTCATTTTTCAGTTTACCTAAAATCGTTTTTCTAAATTTTCAGCATTCAAAGGGTAACGTTTTGTTTTTTACATACGTTCCAAGTAATAATATACAGATACAAAAAGGTTCTCGTCTCGATCAGTTGGCTCATAAAGTACTTAAAATATATCACTGATTTTCAGAGAGAACGTTGCTGGTTAACCAGTTCTCTTCTCTTAACAAACCAGTTTGTTTCTATATCTCAAATAGTAAACAGTTTTATCCCACTCTTTTCACTAGGGTGTGAATATAATTAGTCAACGTCGACATCATTAGTTACAAAAAATTACGTTTTCTGGGGAATAGCAACCACATCAGTGGGCGAACTTTTTCATACGGGTAAAATTAAAAACTGTTTGAATAGGTTTTATTTCTTATCTGAATCATATCGATCAACCATAGTGGTTGATAAGGCAGAGCGTGTGTAATTAAGGCAGAGAACTACCTGTAATACATTTGTAATATCAAACTTGTAGGGGAAGTGAAGAACTGGTAGTCATAAAATGAAGGCTCCGCTGGAATTTCGATTAGTAATTTTAATATTTAAGAAACAAACCAAGTTGATTTATATACGAATGTTGAGGTTTTACAAAACGCATATTTGTTTCCTTTGTGTTCCTTGGGTGTTCAGTAGGGTGTTGCCAAAACTGATGATGAATTGATTTAAAAATAGTTGCCACTCCTGACCTGGGCAAATAAGTTAATTTATATATTCATATAACCACTCTGAAGTCCAATAAACTGTAAATAAAATAAAAAGATGTTAAACGAGTTGCTCCATTGTCGCCGAGTTCAGGTTTAAATGCACAGTAGCTTCTCTCTTTTCTTGCCGGCCGGTTGGTGTTAATCGCAAATAAATATAGAAGTATTCATCCAAACAGTGAAACGAATTGACTTTCCTATAAAAGCGGATTCCAAACGTCGTGTTTACTTAGTCTTAAATCAACAGTTCGACGAAAATGCAGTCCCTGAAAGTGATATTTGTTTTGGGCCTTACCCTCTCCGTTGCCGTCGCTTTAGTAAGTCTCTACTAATATTTATCTGAATTCTTGATTTGATATTTCCCATTTTTTAATTAACAAAAACAGAGAGCGCCGCTCGGTGGTGCCAAACCCCTGGAGGGTGATGATCTGGCCTCGGCTAAGGAGCTTTTGACCAACACACTCGCCAAATTGGCAACCGGAAATGGGCCTAACTACCAGTAAGTTTTCTATAATTAAAAGGGGCTTTGGTTTAATTTCATAATATTTTTCATTTCAGAGTTGTGAATGTGAAATCTGCGAGTAGCCAATTGGTGGCTGGGACTCTTTACAAATTCCAGGTGGATCTGTCCAATGGATCCGACCCCAAGGAGTGCACAGTAAAAATCTGGGATCGTCCATGGTTGCTGGAGAAGGGTCAAGCTGTCAATGTGAGGATTCAGTGTAAAGAGGAAGATGAGGTCGACAAAACCTGGTAGATCATGAGGGATGAACGTAGTTACCTTGTAACCTAATAAAAGTGTGAACATAAGAACTTGTTATTTTGAAAAGAGAGAAGACTTTATGTCGGTAAGCCTCTAAAAAGATTGTGTTTATATAATTAACAACGCTACTGTGTTATAAATAATATCTGTTGATTGTGGAATAACCAGTTTTATTAGTGGAAACCAAACGGGATTCATACTGACTAATCAATTTGAATAGGTCACAGGAAATAAAGTGTTTTAAAATTGTGTGTGTGCGAAATAGGGAATGAAAAAAGAAATACTAAACGACAAAAGTACTAAGTCCATAATGTTATCTGTTAAAGTTAATTGTAAAATTATTATAACCTGTCTGTTGAAAAATGTAAAACATCACGTGATTTGATCAAACTATTAGGAATAACTATTTCTTACATTTTTAGGGTTATATAAAATTCCGAGCAGCCATATTATTTTTCTAAACTTTTAACAATTATGTATAAAGAAACATTTTGGTTTTTTTAAATGCGGTATTTTTTTATTGGATTTATTACATTTGTCTGAAGAGCTTAGCCGACCCTGTTGTTATTGTTACTGTTGAGTCTGTTGAGTCGGTTGAGCCTGTTGCGGCGATTCCTCCTGCGACGCTGATTCCTCTGACGACGACGCTGACGCTGACGACGCAACCTGCGGTTCCTTCTCCTCCTGTTGTTGCCGCTGGAGGTGGAGTCATTGCTTCCGGAGGAGGTGGAGTCGGAGGAGTCGGACGAAGGACTTGTTGAGGGAGAGGTGCTGTCACCCGTCGAGGGCGAGGTGCTGTCCCCCGTCGAGGGAGAGGTGCTTCCGTCAGAGGGGGAGGTGCTTCCGTCAGAGGGGGAGGTGCTTCCGTCAGAGGGGGAGGTGCTGCCATCGGTGGGGGTGGTGCTGCCATCGGTGGGGGTGGTGCTGCCATCAGTTGGAGTGGTACTTCCATCGGTGGGAGTGGTGCTACCATCAGTTGGAGTGGTACTTCCATCGGTGGGAGTGGTGCTGCCATCAGTGGGAGTGGTGCTACCATCAGTGGGAGTGGTGCTACCATCGGTGGGTTCATCTGCCGCATTGATGTAGCTCGAAAAGCAGAGGACCAAAAGGCCAAGGCCCAAAAGCAGAGTGGTTGCCCTCATGGTTGATGTCGGATCGAACGGATGAGTTAGGCTGATGATCTTCGGATGGTGGCTAACTCTTTTATACCACTCGTAAACGGTTCTTTCTTCTACTGAAAGGATAAAATACACCTGCGCCAACAAATCGAATCAATAGAACTTTTCGTATTGCCGAATTTCGACAGCTGACAAAATAACACGCGAGTAGAACAAGAAGCATTATTTTATTTAAACAATCTGCTATTTAGTTCTTATAAAGACATTTGGTGATTAAATATTTGCAGCATCACATCTGCCAAATAAGAAAGCAAAAGCACAGACATAGGACGAATTCATAGCCTGATTTTAGGCATTATTAAATAACATCTACGCCTAAATTAATCACTTAGCAAAAATGATTTCTATGAAGAACTCTAACGTATTGACGTCTCTCTTGACTCAATATTTATTAATTTATTTTTTTGCAAACCGATCGTTTATGCGAATTTCTTAGCAAATAAGCGAAAAATATAATGCAGAATCTACAAGAACCAGCTGCTTAAATTTGCCAATTATCTTTGGCTGCGAAAGACGCGTGGCATTGAACGCCTATAAAAGCGGATTTCGCCATCCATCTGCAACACAAATCACAAATCGCCACGATGAGAGCTACCATTTTAACCGTCGCCCTGGTCTTCGCAACCTGTCTTCTGAGGAGCAGCGAGGCGGTGACCTGCACCGCTGATGCCACCGTGACCGGTTGCATTGACTGCACCACCAATCCCACGGATGCGGAGTGCGTGGCCGAGGCAGCTGCTGAAGATACCACTAGTACCACCACCACCACAACCACTGTGGCACCCGACACGGCTTCGTCAACCACTGTGGCAAGCACCACAGTGTCGTCTGCCTCCAGCGGATCCTCGTCCTCCTCCACTGGAAAGCGGAAGATCGTACGAATCAGCAATCTGACATACAGCAACACGCGCCGAGTTCGCGTCTATAAAAACAATTCGAGGAGCAACCAAAATCGCCGGAACAACGCAAACAGGAACAACAACAGAAACAGGAGCAACAGAAACGTTCGTGTTATCATCGGCTAGGATTATCGATTCCAATAAAATGTTTAAAGGGGAAAACGCTATATGAAAATATGTATTACGTTTATCATTATTCTACTATCAAAGAAAGTGAGCAACTTTCGATTGCAAATTCTCAGCTAATAACTCAAAAATATACCCAACGGTTATAAGCACCTGTGCCAATATTCCGATTGTATCGAGCGGCTATAAGATCTTTAACACTCCAGTTATCACCTTAACTACCAACCATTAGTTGCACCATGATAAGCATTTTAATTGTCTTTTTTTTATTTTGATCTGTGCCGCTGATCCCACCGCCGCAGGATGCATTGATTGCACCACAAGTTGCAGTTCCATCAACGCGGATTGCTGAAGCATCCAGCTCCAAAGTCAATTGCAGTGCTGATCCCTCCAACTCCCAGTGCGTGGTCACCGGAACCACTCCGAATCAACCCACCTATAAATCAATATTGTTATTGATCGATCGTTTTGATCATCCAATTATTTTCAATCAATTTCAAACCCATTAAAATTATCATAATTACATTTTTACATTTATTAAAAAATGTATAAACAAAGCTAACTAGCTAACCTCTGATCCCATACTTTAACTGATTTAAGTAAATTAAAATATTTTTTTTTTTCATTTTATTAACAACGGTTTCCATCTTTTCTTTTTCTAAGCAACTATGACTCGAACGTTGCCGCGACGATTTCCTCGTCGGTTTTGGCTTCTGCCACTCCTGGCGTTGTTGTTCCTGCTCCTCTGGTTGCGGTTCGAGTTGTTGCTGCGCCTGCCATTGGACCTGCCATTGGATCTGCCGTTGGATCTGCGATTGGACCTGCCACTGCGGTTGGTGGAGCGGGCAGTTGTGCCGTTGACGCGGATGCGACGGGTGACGGAGTACTGCAGGTTGCTCACGCGCACGATCTTTCGGTTTCCGCCGGTGGTGATGGGCGATGAGGTGGTCGTCGATGCAGAGGTGGTGGTGCTCGAAGTGGGTGCCACAGTGGTTGTGGTGGTGGTGGTGCTGGTGGTATCAGCAGCTGCCTCGGCCACGCACTCCGCGTTGGTGGGATTGGTGGTGCAGTCAATGCAACCGCTCACGGTGGGATCGGCGGTGCAGGTCACCGCCTCGCTGCTCCTCAGAAGACAAGCTGCCAGGACGAAGAAAACGGAAGTGATAGTTGCTGTTCTCATTGTGGATTTGCTTTGGTTGGTGGTTGTTGATTGATACTGATATCCGATTTTGGAAAGGCTTATATAGTAGGTCCATCATAGGCGTTATTTCTGCCAGGGGATTTATTGCCAAAATTTACGCAGCTGTTTTCTCACTAATTTTTTATGTTATTTGCTTAGAATTTGCAAACTATCGACTGCGAAGATTTGTTCATAGAACATCGAACTAGAACGCTTTCGTTGATCGTTGAACGCGGTTTAATATTGACTCTGTATCCATAAGATGATCAATGCCATCTGAGAGTTGTTTACCTCCTTAAGGTTGAAGGTTGTTTCGTTTGATGACAGCCTAGTCGTTGGGAAATATAACCTTTTAAATGGATGATTTGATTAAATAAAACTCAGGCATGCTTATTTGTTGGCTACCCGATTTATGAATCTAAAATCAGTATATCAAAAAGTTTTGCAGAGCATCGAGTTCGATCAAGAAACAATCTTTCAATCTTTCTTCGGGCGAAGAAACTTAAAAATAATAAATAAACTTAAAAAAAACTTAATGCACTTTCTTAAATTTTTTGGTATAAAAAAAATTAAAAATTTGTTATAGAATTTAAATAGAAACATTTAGAGGTATGCCACTTCCAAATCTGGTTAAAATTAGGTGAAATCAGGTGAAAATTAGTCAGTTTTCAGCAAACCCATTTTTTCATTAAAATTGAAAAAAATCGGGAAAAAAATTCTAGGGATGCAGTTTGTTATAGAATTAAAATACAAACATTTAGAGGTATGCTACTTAAAAATCTGATTTGAATTAGAAAATTTATAGACTTAAAATTACTGAACTTAGTCAATTTTTAGCGAACCCAGTTTTTTGGAAATTTGGAAAGACGACAGACATACATGGCTAATTCGATTCAGATTCTGACTGAAATTAAAATACCCTCTGCAGTGATATAATACAATTTTTTTAAATGCAGTGTAAAAATTTTATTTTGATTTATGCATGAAACATAAATTTTGTATTCAGTAATCCAGTTCGTTGTGGTGATATATTTTAGCCGGTTCGGTTCTGTCTCCTGCGCCTTTGGGCCCTCCTCCTGGCCGCTCGCCTCCTTTGCGCGCGCCTCCTTCGAGCAGCCCGCCTCCTGGCCGCCCTCCTCCTCCTTCTGGCCGCGTTGCTGGTTGCCGTGTTTGTTGACGAATCAGTGGGCGACGTGGAAGCAGCGGGAGATGCAGAACTGTCGGCCGAGCTAGTTGGGGCAGGAGTAGCCGATGAAGTTGGCGAGGCTGAAGAAGAGGATCCTGTGGCCGGGGCTACGGATGAAGAGTCAGTTCCTGTTGCGGGTGCTGCAGAGGATGATGTTCCTGTCGTGGGAGCCGCAGTGGATCCAGCGGCTGCCTCAGCCACGCACTCTGCATCAGTGGGGTTGGTGGTGCAATCCACGCATCCTGTAACCGTGGGATCGGCGGTGCAGGTAACCGCTTCACTGCTCCTCAAAAGGCAGGCTGCCAGGAGCAGGATCCCAGAAAAAAATATCGAAGTTGCCCTCATTTTGTAAATGATGATCTTCTTGAATGATGACACGAGCTTATATAGTGCGGTCTTTCCATTTTACCTACGCGGAATCAAAAGATATAGGCAAATTTGCCCAACTGTGTCAGATATTTTGTTTACTTATGTGCATTGTTATAATTTGGCTTGAGAAATTGTTCAAGAAGATTTGCTCTTTCTTTTATTGCCCAACTATGTTTTGCGTTTTTTTTTTTTGAAAGTGTTGACAGGTGGTATATGTAGAATAGGTTAGATCCATCTACAAACAACTGCCAAATTTGAGCAGCTGTTTCAATCGAACTTTGGTTTGTTTTTCTTATTTGTTTTTAAAAAGCTCACGCGGTTAGCTTTGCATTGGAGTAGTTAGAAAATGTTTACAATTTTTAACACGTGTGCTGTTAGAGATTAGTAACCTCCATTCATAATAATCATAGTTGACTTAGATTTTTGGAATGCAATGTAAAAATTTATTTTATAAAATATGTTTTAAATATGAACAAATTCAATTAAGTAATTTTAGAAATCCTTTCGAATTCTAAGTCCTTTTGCCATTGGGGATATTGTTAACCGGATCGTTGGTTCCGCCTTCTGCGGTTTTCACGTCTTCTTTTTCTTTGGGCAGCCTTTCTAGCTCTTCTTCTAGCCTCCATTCTCTTGGCAGCCCTTTTCCTTTTCCTTCTAATGGCGGCTTTTCTCCTAGCCGCTTTCCTAGCGGCGGCATCGCTGGTTGACCCTGACGATGAAGAAGTTCCTGTAGAAGCAGTGTTGCTGGAAGCACTCAAGTCTGCCGAAGGAGTCGGAGTGGAGGCTGTTGAGCTGGAGACACCAGTGGAAGTGGTGGAACTGGACACAGGAGTAGCTGATGTAGAACTGGAGACAGGAGTAGATGATGTGGAGCTGGAAACAGCAGTAGAAGACGTTGAACTAGAAACTGCAGTAGAAGATGTGGAACTGGAGACGGCAGTCGAAGATGTTGAACTAGAGACAGCAGTTGATGATGTCGAACTGGAGGAGCCCTGTGAACTTGCTAAGGACAGCAGGCCACAAGTGACAATGAGCAGCCAACTCCATAAAATAAAAACTCTCATCTTCGGTTTGATGCAATACAATAATCCCCTGTTCCAGACGCATCGCTTTATATAGCTCCAATTCAACTGTTTGCTCTCCTAATTAGACTTGAATTTATGCAGCTTGCCCTTTTGTTAGACTCATAATAAATGCAATTTGTTATTATTTACGTAGACACGAAAGTAAATAAATGTGTTTAAAGCTACAAATATGCGTCGATAGAATATCCCCAAAAAAACTCACTTGCCATCATTGAGTTTGTAATTCAACTCATTTGAGTGCAAAAAATTTTAATGAAAATGAGTAGCTTCGCGTGTGAGTTTGCCCACTTTTATGACTATCCAATTGTTTGCTAATGTATAGAGTTTTTATTTTATAATTATCATGACGTCACATCTTACACCGAAGCGAAGCGAGAACAATGAGCGAGAATATTTTATATTCATATTTTGCAGTTATATTGCGATCCGCTGACCAACTCTGATTTTTTGATTTAGTTTAGTGTGAGCTGATCAGCGTACGGTTGAGCCATGGACTTAAGCAGAAATTTGTTGCTGTTTTTGGGATTTATTTCAATGTCTAATATTGCGGTAAGCGGGGAAATTAAATAATGTTAAAAAATAGTTAAAAAACACTTTTATTAGTTTTCCATCTGCATTCCGCCAAATCACTGCATTGAAGATGTGAGTATGATCCCAGTTTATTAATTATTTATAAGATAATTTAAAATCTTAAATAAATTGACACACTTCAGATGGAGGATAGCGATGCCATGGAACGATTCGACTATGTCCTGGACAAATATGAAGAGCTGAAAATGAAAATCCCCGGCAAACCAATTGGGTGAGTTGAACTTTGCGCCAGTGCTTGACGATTCGCTAATTGGCTTTCCACTTTCCCGCCGGCAGCTTGCATGGCAAAGTGGTTACGCATGGCGAGTCGGAGGAGCAGCACTTGGTGTTCCACTACATGGACAATACGCCGCTCGACGTCATCCAGACTTGCGCCTTTGTGGTCACCCGGAATCCCGGCGAGTGCGAAACCATCCGGACATACTGCTCGGCCTTTCTGGGCCGCCTGCCACGCCCACTGCTGGAGCGCCAGCCCATCGCCGTCTGCGATGACGGAGTTCGAGTGGCCGAGGAGGAACCGGAACCGGAAGACGACCCGGATGCTGATGCTGAGCAGGGCCAGGGGGGAGGAGGGGGGTGGCCAGTCGGAGACCACAACAGCGGAACCGGCCAGCTCCAAGTTGAGTGAGTTCTACTAATTTCCATAAGCGGTTGGAGTACCCTCTTCTATATTTCACAATAGGATTTAAGGCATTTCAAACGCAATTCATATTCAATTCATATGAGGTTAGCATTTATTTGAATTCCTGTAAAAATTTATTTTTAAGCGTTTTATAAATCTTTAAAGAACACTACTCCAAAGAAGAGAGAAATACAGTTTTTATAAAAATTATTAACAATTGTTAACAAACTTGAAATTTCTTTGTGTTACTTATTTAACAGTTTCAAGTCTCGCCCAAAAGTAGGCTTTAGCCAATAGTGTGCTAACATTTTCATTTGGCCCATCAATGTCATGGCTTCCAGAGATTGAGTTAGGGAAGCTCTAACAGCAACAACTATGCGGCTTTTAGCTCAACAACTGACGGCCAAAAGACTAGGCCAGGCCAAGTCCGGCGCCTGCGCTGATTCCACAGTGCACAGTGGGAGGTATTTATAAAAGAATGCAATACAAACAAATTAAATTATAAAAAACGAATCACAAAAATATAATCTATTCAAAATGTTAATGTTTTTAATGTGTTAGTTAAGAAATAAAAACGGCTTTATTATCTGATCTGCTTATTAAAATTAATATTTGAGGTCAAACGAGATGCTAAGAACTGCTTATGGGTTTTCTATGTATAAGAAAGATAACAAGTTTTAAGAAATTTTTTAAGAATTAGTGTTTTAATTAAATAAACACAAGTAATTGTTTTAAAGAAAATTGTAAGTTATAAATATACGATTTTTACATGAATATATTCAAAGTTCAAGAGAACTAGGGAGATGATAAGGACTTTCTATTAACTTCGAAGCCACTGTAGGCCGCAGCAATGCGTGAGAGAGCTCTCCTCGCGGAAGAAAGAGAGCGAGAGCGAGTTGCTTGCGCCAAATAACAGTAAACAAAGCCCAGCTGCTTTTGCTAGCGGTATCATTTCAGTTGTTAACGGGGCGCCAACGCGAACTGGAGCAGCTAAAACGAAGCGCGGGAGCTACAGAACGCGACACAAAAGCTCCAAAACGCTGCAGACCCGTAACGAAATCAGCGATAGAGAGGAGAAAGAAGAAAAGAGCGAGCAGAGCGAGAGCACAGATGTAGGGAGAGCACCTTATTGAGAGAGTCTCCCCCAGAGATAGATTGTTATTTGGCGACAGTGACAGTCCCGCACCGAATTATATATCCGCTCAGTGCTAAAGTTGTACTCGTGCTGCGTAGCTCGTGTGGGCAAGGCCGTTTCTTGATACGCCCACCCACCGCCCCCGCGCGCCCCCTGCCACGCCCCCCGCCAGCTGGGAGCAGCAGCTGCTTTTCAGTGAAGTGCGTGCGCGTTTCGCGGCAACGGAATTGCCGCCGGTTGAAAAAACGCACAGGATAAAACCAAAGCAACAAAAAAAATACACCCAAGTTAAACACAACCCACTTTTTGCATAACACGAAAACTAAAAATTAAACATTTAAGCGTCGCGTAAATATACTATTTACATTCGCGCGATTCCCATCCCCTTTTATCAACGAAGCGCCAGCCAGTCGGCGTTATCAGCAAACGAAGCGCGACAAAAAACACAGAAGCGTACTAAAAAACGCAAAAAAAAAAAAAAAATAAATAAAAACCAAAATGAAATGAAAATGCATTTGAGTGCGTGAGTGTGTGTTTAGGTGAGTATTAGCCGTACTAGAATGCCTGTCTATGTGTGTTTGTGTGTGTGTGCGGGGCCTCCGGCTCAGCTGAGTGCTGAGTAAACAAACAAAAACCAACCGAAGCCAAACACAAATACCACCACCACCAATACCAGCACCTATAGGAAGCACCCTTACCCACACACCCGCACGCAATTATTAGCGTTCCCCAAATCCCCCAGAAATGTGCGAATTATGAAATATTTTACCCTTGAATGTCGTACATACTAGAATTAGCGGCGGGGAGGCAACATAGTAATACTTTTTAGCAACTTTTTAATACCCCTCTTGTAGTGGGATTTAAGGGTATGCTCAATCTAAGAAATTGTTTTTTTTGTGTGGATTTATACTTAAACTTGAATAAATATAAGTCCTAGTTAGTTCCTATAAATTGTTCTTAAACCATTTTTGGTGCTCAAAGATTGAAAAGCATGTTTAAGTTTTTATTGATCTATTAAATTTCCTTATATTTCAACAAATAATAATGATGTCTTTAAATTCGACATTTAGTACGTCGTAAATTACAAAGAGATTTTCTACAATACAATTTAACCGATTTAGGTTCCCACACGTCTTTAGTTTTGGGATGAACGCTTTAGATTTTTGTTATACTCAAAACGAGGATATATACAAGTTGTGCAACCATATCGTTTTGTAAAACTAAGTGTCTTATAATGTTTTAAATTATATATTGTGTATTCTTTGAACCAGATATATACCGAAGTCGGAATACTTGACCTTATGAATTTTAACAGAGGTTTTTTTTGGATCGCCCCATGGGGAATCATAAGCAACAACTCAGCGTGGCACCGAAAACTTTTCCTGTGACGTGCGATACCTAACGCAAATTATTCGAGAGCTGTTTCATCGCATTTTGCCACTTTTCTTCTCGCGCGCAATTTTCTTCTCGGCCGCCCTTTTGGAGACCCGCCAAAGTGTCTGTGAAATCCATTAAGTTTTGTTTTCGTTTTTTTTATGAACAACATTGACTTTGTCAACGGTTCGTTCGCCAGCATCCCTTGGACCCACTGAACTCCCCCATTCCCACGCATTTTTCCAAACGGCAACTGTCTGAGCAAGTCTTTTATTTTATTTTAATGCCCTCACTTTGGCCACTCCTCGGCAGCTTCCCTTTTGGAGGATTTTTTACAAAAACGTTGTCAAATTTATTGACTCACTTTCGTCTTTGTATTATCCGGCTTTATCCGTCTGCCATAGTCTCTTTGTTGGCCATATTCCCTTACACAAGTGACAAGTTATTTCAAATTGAACGGGAACTTCAAGGGTCATAAACTCAGCTTTTGACAACTTGAAAGAACTCCAATTACGTTAATTATCGGTCTGGTAAAGCAATATGTGGGTGTTATCCCCTTGAAAAGTAATCTTTTAAATTATTAACAAACTATTTGGGATTTTTGTAACATATTTACCTACATTCTTACAGTTCATTTAGACTGGTGATTATCTTTTCCTCCCTTTTTTTTGTAGAAAATTTAAAAGGCAGTTTAATTGGTTTTCATTTTACCGTAATACTTTTAGAGCCACTTGCTTGGCAATTGTTTTTCGGTTGCCCTCACCTCTAATGAAGATCTTTATTAGCTGAATGCTCGAGGAGGATGTAAAGTAAATGGAAGAGGCGGCTAAAAGCTTTCGAAGTGCCGCACCACACCTGTCTTTAGTGGCTCTCAATCTCGTGGGATTCCCCTTGTTTTCGGCTTGTGCTTGGGTTTTCCGGGTGTAAGGCGGATAAGGTTAAGGTCGCGCGGATTTATAGTATATGGCGTCCCGATTTTCGTGGGGCCACTTATAAATAGTCCCCGTTCTCGGCGATTACCCTTCGCATGCAATTTTCCCCGAAATTTGTTTGCCTGTCGCTCTGCCCTTCATTTTTTTTGCTTTTTGTTTTTTTTTTTTTTTTTCTGTATGTGGCCCCAGCACGTGTCTTTTACTTCGGGGGAAAATGGAAAATATTCGCCCAAAACTCGGGGCCCAAACTTTGCTCTCGGGCATGTTTATGGCGTCTGCCGCTGACTGACGTTCATTGGCTTTTGTGCGGATATTTGTTTTTGTTATGATTCCGCCATTCTCGGCCGCTCGTGTCCTTCGTCCTTGCGTCCTTCGCAATGGGCCATAAAACGGTGTCTCCGAGCACATTTCGCTGGTCGCGTCGGCATCTAAGGCTGTGTTTCAGCCTTGTCTCAGTATGGATTCTCTATCCTTCCTCCATTTCAGCCAGTTTATTTTGTTCCCGAAATTCTCGGGAATTCTTTGCATTTTATTCTGCTGTTTGTTATCGCTCTGGGACCTTCAGTTCCTTCTTCTTCTCCCATTCGTCATGTCGCTTTCATTCCTTCCTTTTCCGACTTCATTTAATCAGCAATTCATTTATTTAAACGCCTTGGAGAAAATCATTTTTGTTTATTGATTCATTTGAGAAAGCAATGGATATAAGCGACGAAGCCAAAAAATGAAGTACGCTTTTCCCGCTAAAATGGACATTAATTTGATTTGTTGCTATCAAAATTAGGACGAAATTAGATATGAATCTACTTAGTTACATTGGAGGTTGGTTTTTATGTTGTGTTCAATTAAGCCAACCTTAGTTATTTATAAAACATATTTATTGGCAGGGCTATTGTGCAATTTTTTACATACGTATTTGAAGTAGAAAGTCATTAATATAGCTTATTATACTGTTTTTAAACACAGCGAGGATAATAGTTTTTAAAGTAATTTTTCGTAAAAATTTTATACGATATCTGCAACTTTGATAAATAGCAAACTTGCAACCGTAAAGTAAATTGTTTGAAACTAATTAATTCTTTCGTAATTTTCTTGCAGCCACAACAAATTTTCGAACAAAAAGAAATTGGTAAGTCACGTTACGTATACGCAGCGTTGCCTTTTAAAATCGCTTACAAAGTACGTAAACAAACACGGAAACAAAAACTAAGATGGAGTTCGATCTATTAATAGCCACCCCAAAGGATAGTTGCGAACTTTTGCTCCAGCTGCGCGAATCCTTGCAGAAGACACTATGGAAGACGGATGACACGGCCACGCCCCCAATCGCATTACGTTTTTTTATTTTCTTTTTTGGGGAAGGCGGCAACCTGAACCGATTCCGCTGCAGCTGTCGTCGGACTTTTAGCTGCTGGCTCGAGAAAGAAGCCACAGTAGCGATAAAGAAAAAAAAAAACAACCTTTATAGAACGAAACTGGAGGGAAAACTTCACCGTTAGCCGTTTTGTGCGGCGCTTATCCGTCTTAGCCACTTTGAGTCGCGTTTCTGCCGCCTCTCGGCGATATTTTGTGCTAAAGTTTTAGCCACGATTCCTTGGCCGCTGTGGCTTTTTGCCGGAAATAACGTACGAGTGCAGAGATAAAGGGTGTGTTAGCCGAGTTCGCTTTTTGCCAGCTCCCTTGACGAAAATTATTGTCTGAGGTTGTGTCGCTGTCGCTACCAACGCATAAATTTGACTGTCCCACATGTCCTGCGATACCGCTTTTTCTCAACTTTCCCCCGGCTTTTCCCCCATGGCGTTCGCATATCCTGTTACCGTCCTTTGTAGGTTTTTGCCTTTGTTTTTTCTTCTATTGTTCGGTCCTTGCCTCTTAGTTTTTTCCAGCGTTTATTTGCGCTATTTTTAGACCAACACTTTTATTTTGGTTGATATTTTCGTTGTGGCATTCGCGGTGCCAAAGTTGACCGTGTTGTTTTCACATCTCCGCTTGTGGGCCAAAACCGAATTGTTTACAAATGCGAATTCCCAATTAAAAGCTTTCGACTTTGCTTTGCTCTCCACTTCGCTATCGATTATATAATAATAAACCTGCCTGGCCACGTGGAGCCTGAACTTGCCACGTAATTATACTTTTATGCGGACGACAGTGCCAGTCGCTAGAACTCATTGTGGCCGGAAGGCAATTAGAAGTAATTTTAATAACATAGATTACGCATACGCGGCGTGGGACACTCGACAGTATCTAAAATGGGTCATGGCTGGCATCCAAATGAAAGTTTCGAAAACAGTTTCTTTGGTTTATGGCCACTTATATCACAATTAAAACTGGGATTGCAATTTAAAAAGATGTTTCTAGATTGGCAAAGCAATAGTAATTTAATTAAGACAAGATTTTCAAACTTTAATTAAATGAATAGATTTTAAATGAAAACAGTTATTTTTGTTAAATGAATTCCATTGATGAGTTCTTTAACAAAGACTGAATTATTCACAGTGATTTAATTAAATTTATATTAGTAAATTATAATTACACATTTCCCACCCCAAATTTGGGTTATGCATTTGTAAGCACCTTAGTTGGTTTTGTTATTGTTCTCTGAATAATAAATTCGATTTATCAGGTTATTGACAGGTCAGGTGCAATTGACTCTTTAGGAATTCAACTCGTTTGCTGTATTCATTGGAATCTAAACATTTTTGTCAGGCAATGCGAACACTTTAAGCAGCTTAAACTACGATAAAAGTATATTTTGGTGTCATAAAAAATTCCGCCTGTCGCCCAATGAAGTTATAAGTTAACCAAACAACCACATAAAATCGCAAATTTTATAAGCCAGCAATTTTTAAGCCGTTGGAATAACAGGTTTTAATTAAACTGAGACTTCAGTTTATCTTGGAAACGATTCACTTTGAAGCCAACGCACACACATAGTCACACAAACATACACACACACACACACACTCACTTGCTGGCAGAGACTCAATTACTTAGCCCGAGTTTCGAGGACCCACGTAGTTCTTGCAAATGGTTAGCCGCGCTCCAGGACACGCCCACACACACGGGGAAAAGGTCCTTTCGGGAAAGCAGTGACCGAGCAGCGTCGGCATAATTAAATTATTCCACAACAATTGCCGCTGGAACAAGAGTCGCTCATTGAGTTAATTTGCGACAAGTCGAGGTGGTGATGTCGACGATTTCACTGCCGCCAAAGTTTTTCAGTGTCCTTTTAGTCTGGCTCTTGGCTGTTGGTCATTTGGGCTGAACTTTTGCGCTGGAAAAGGATTAATTAGGATTAAAAGTGTGTCGAGTGGCTGACAAAAGCCCAGAACGGTTAGCCCTCGACTACAAAGAGGCCATCGCGGTGGCCTGAAAAAAAGCAGGAAAGCTCGCAAGGAAAATAAAATGGAATAAAATGAAACAAAAGTGGCTGGATGCTTTCTGGCGGTTGGCGTAATCGTGCGGCATAAATAAGTCAACCAGTTGGCCCAACAGCTTCAACTTGGCTGATGATGATTTCTCATTTTGTGCATGGCGCATTTAATTAACATAATTCGATTTAATTCTGGATTTCGTGCGACGCCGGTTTTTGTTTGACTCTTGCATTTAAATGAATTCAACATAAATTACAATTTATTACACAAGCACGATTAATTTTTGCTGTTCTGCGTTTTGTGTTTTTGCTGCTCTTTTTCCATCTTGTCAAATCTAATTGAATAACAATTTCAAAATTGGCTTATGGCACAACCGATCAACTCGTTCCCCGGCGCAACTCGTCCCTAACCGAATTCAATTAAAACTAACAGAATTTATCGGTTTCCAATGCAATCAGTTGGGATATCGTGTTAAAATTCTTGACCTGGCTGAATGTGAGCTTTGAAGGTTTGAGTGCATGACAGAGCAGAAATATAAATCAGTTTTATGGTAATAAATAAATAAGTTAAGCTGTCAAATCCACTGCCAGCTGCCCGTTCCCACTGAAAGTATTGATCCTTTACAGTTCTATACAATGTGAGTGGTGTGTATAGTGAATCAGTTAGTCTAGTTCCCGATTTGAGAGTCCCAACAATGCGTCGCTAATCTAATGAAATCGTTTCAATTTCCATTTTGCTGACATTAAAGTTTTAAAGCCCCAAAATGGATGGGGCCAACCCTTTTGCGCATTCGACCTTTTCATAAAACTGCCGGCGGACACTATAAACTGCCAGTGATATTAGTTAATGCCCTGCTGCGGTCGTCCATGCGGAATTGTTATTATTTAAATGGCATATTCATTTCGGTCCCCGTTTTGTGGTGAATTCTGCAGGGTACGGTGGATGGTTTTGGTTTTTAAGTACATAAAACAAATTATATAAAAACATTATGAAAAGACGGACTAAAACATTCTTTGTGGTCTTAATAATATAACAAGTTAAGTTTAAGCAGTAGAATATATTCATACAAATTTAAGTTTATAAGTTAAGTTATCAGAGGAACAACATTTCAGGGTATCTAATCTGTTCAGCCAAATAGAAAAGTCCACATCTCTTTTCGGCCAAACTGCAGAACGCATTTGTTTGGCCAACAAACTGAGTGGAAAAACTTTTAACTAAAATGCGAGAAGGAACCCAAGTACACACAAACATGTTGGCACACACATTGGCCAGAGGATAACTGGAGGAGGGCCACAAAGCAGGAGGCTGGGATACAAAACGGTGAAGCGTATAAGAAAAGTTGAAAATTGTGAAATGTAAGCAAATTGTGAGCGCCAGAAGATGTGGGGAGATAATGCCCGTGGAGAAAGGGGAGACCCACGCACACCCATACGAATAGAGATGGCAAAAATTTCCGGCTTTCTAGCCACGGTTCCAAGCAAATGCACACGAATGTATGAATATTTCATTTGGCAAATGTAACTAAATACATAAGCCAGGCCGCAGGACACGTCTCTCATCTTCATCTCGCCATCAAATCTGCAAAAGGACATGTGTAACGTGTCGATGTGGGTGTTCAGTATGCACATGTATGTGTGCCTGTGTTTGCCATCTGCGGTTTTGCAATTGAATACGAGGACCTGACTTTCCATCTTGGTCCTTGCTTCCCCTTTTAAGGTCTTGAGTCGAGTGCCAAGTGGCTCTCCTCGGCTTGCCATAAACGATTCTCGCTGTTTATGCTAAAAATCTATGCCACATTAGTTCGTTGCCATCCAGTTGGCCATGTTTGTTGTCGTTCCGCCCTGTTTCGAGGGTCATGTTCGGGCTGCCGCCGTTGTTGCGCTTTTGTTTGGCCCATGTGCTTGGCTTTTTGTGCGGTGAAGAGCGCTTGAGGTTGCCAGCGAGCGAACAGGAAGTCGGCTGACATACAAACAGAAAGACAGACATACAGTCGGACTGCGAGACACTCGTTTGGTTAGACAGACAAGACAGGGGCAAATAAAAGGGATACACACGCGGAAAAACCACGTTTTTATGGCATTTCGTTCTGGATCAGAATATTGTAAAACCATAAATGTTGTTATGTAAATACTTTTTCGAGTAAAAGAAAAGGAATAACTAACAAAAAGAATGGTTTCTAAAAGCTATTTTACCTTTTTTTCAAGTCCTTAGTTAACGTATTATATAATATTTTTGTAAGAGCTTTTTCTCAATATTATTTTTATTATTTCACCTTTTTTTTGAGAGTGCAAACACAGATACGATTTGGTAAGGCAAGGCCACACAAATGGGACAAAAGAGCATCAGCGTAAGCGGCCATAAACAGGCTCCCAACAACATGCAACAATGTTCATGTAATTATGCGCCCGAGTCCTTCTTGTTGTTGTTTTAGTCGTCAGGCAGCTCATGTTGATGCTTAACTCTGCCCGGGTTTATATCCCTGTTCCTGCTCCCTGCTCACTGCTCAATGGCCCTGCAGCCTGCAAGTTGCTCCGAGTTGAGTTATTATCCGTGTGGGCGTATTATTTCTAACGCTCGAGCACCTGGAACATCAAGATGCCCCACATAACACTAACAGCTTGGCGAGTTCGGGCTAATTAATAACCGTAATTAAGTTGACTTAATCTAAACGAGCGTTTTTACATTCTTGTCTTGATAAAATGTGGCACAATGTGCGATTAATGTGGGCTATCAACTCTCAACTTCCCCGGCTCAC